TTTTAAGATTTTATTTATTTATTTGACAGAGAAAGACACAGCGAGAGAGGGAACACAAACAGGGAGTGGGAGCGGGAGAAGCAGACTCCCTGCTGAGCAGGGAGCCCGATGCGGGACTCAATCCTGGAACTCCAGGATCATGACCTGAGCCGAAGGCAGTCGCTCAACCAACTGAGCCACCCAGGCACCCTTTTTTTTTTTTTTTTGAAATAATTTCTGATTATTTATTTTAATTTAATTTTATTTTTTTAAGATTTTTTTTTTTTTTTAAGATTTTATTTATTTGTCAGAGAGAGCGAGAGAACACAAGCAGGGGAAGCAGCAGGCAGAGGAAGAAGCAGGCTCCCAGCTGAGCAGAGAGCCTGATATGGGGCTCGATCCCAGGACCCAGGGATCATGACCTGAACCGAAGGCAGATGCCCAACCGACTGAGCCACCCAGGCATCCCCAGGAGCTGTTTTTTTTTTTTTTTTAAGATTTCATTTATTTATTTGAGAGTGACACAGCGGGAGAGGGAACACAAACAGGGGGAGTGGGAGCGGGAGAAGCAGGCTTCCCGTGGAGCAGGGAGCCCGATGCGGGGCTCAATCCCAGGACCCTGGGACCATAACAACTGAGCCACCCAGGTGCCCCAGGAGCTGGTCTTTTGAGAAAAAAAGAAAAAAATCAATAAAATGGATACACCTCTTGCCAGACTTTACAAGAAAAAAGAGAAAGGACTCAAACAAATAACATCATAAATGAGAGAGAAGAAATAACACCACCACAGAAATACAATTATAAGAGAACATTATTATGAAAAACTATATGCCAACAAATTTGACAACCTCGAAGAAAGGATAAATTCCTAGAAACATATAAACTACCAAACTGAAACAGGAAGAAACAGAAAATTTGAACTGACTGATAACCAGCAAAGAAATTGAATCACTAATCCAAAAAACTCCCAACAGGGGTGGCTGGCTGGCTGGCTGAGTCAATAAAGCATGAGACTCCTGATCTCGGGGTTGTGAGTTTAAACCCCACGTTGGATGCAGAGATTACTTAAAAATAAAATCTTTATTTTTTTTTAAGTTTCTATTTATTTGTGAGAGGAGAGCGAGAGAGAGAGCATGCATGCATAAACAGGGGTAGAGGCAGGCAGAGGGAGAAGCAGGCTCCCTACTGAGCAAGGAGCCTGATGCAGGACTCGATCCCAGGACCCTGGGATCATGACCTGAGCCGAAGGCAGACGCTTAACCGACTGAGCCACCCAGGCACCCCTACATAATGGATTTTTAATATTCAAAGTGGGATTTCTGGGTCCAGCTTTTCATAGATACTGCCACATTGCTTTCCAAAAGCACTGTAACACTTCACATTCCTAACTGCACTTAGGAAGGTGTCTGTTTTCCCACCTCTTCTCCAGTTCTGAATGTTTTCTCTTTTTTTTTTTTTCAAGCTTCAAGTTTATCTTTTTTCCCCCATTATTTCAACTCAGGCACCATTTTATGTTGGTTTATTGAATATTGCAGAGTAGGGTGAAATATCCATCCTTCCGATACACATATTATTTATCCTGTCATTCCCTTTACACCCCATCATTCCACTTTCTCCCAAAGCTATCTAGGTTTCCTGCTCTCAGAAATTAATACTTTAGAATGTGAGGGCGATCTGGCTGCGACATCTGTCACCCCACTGATCGCTAGGGTTGATTTGGCTCATCTGGCTGGCTAGGCGGGTGTCGCCTTCCTCCCTCAGTGCTCCATGTGTGTCCCTCCCGAAGCTGCGTGCTCCTTCGAAGAGGACCACCTTCCCTGATGGGAGGAGGACCGTTCTTCGGTGAAGGGTATACGAGTAACTGCGCTCCCCTGCTAGAACCTCCAAACAAGCTCTCAAGGTCCATTTGTAGGAGAACATAGGGTAGTAAAGCTTCCAAGACTCCAGACACATCCAAGTGAGGCGCTGCACGTGGCAGTCTGCCTTTCTTTAGAAAAAAAAAAAATAATAAAATAAAATAAATTAGTACTTTATCTCCACTTTGTGTTTAATGCTGTGGACAGCATTGTTTAGTGACTAAAGCTTTCGGCGATTCTGAGCAGCAAGCCTGAGGAATTAGGATGAGAGGGAGACAATATGTTGTAGTGCAGGGACTTCGGAGCCAGATTGTCGTGTGATCTCTGGAAAATTACTCACCCCCTCTAAACCTCGGTTTTTCCGTCCACAAAACAGTGATATTAGTACCTTCCTCCTGTTGTACAGTACTGTTTTGAGGATTGCGTTAGAATGGTGCCTGGTACACGTCGTTATTAATATCCGGTCTTGCTTCCTAGGAGGCCCAGAGATTAGATGACTTACCCATCTGGAGGCTCCAGGCTAAAAAGGGTTGTCTTTGGGACTCCAACACTTGAACCCAGGTCTTTTGACCTTTTTACTCAATCTTTGTACCATGTCAAAGCTGCCTTTTGTCACTTCTCGGGGGACTTATTTTGGTCATCTTTTTATCAGTCACAACATGGCCACAGTGGGCTGGCCTAAAATAAATACTTGTTGAATGAGTGAATTAATGAATAAATGTTTTCTACTAGGAAATCACTAAAAGGCTGTTATGTAAATTGTGGGGACAGTGGTTTTCAAACTATTTTTCTCTGCAGCCATCTGTATCTTCTCAAGAATTGTTGGTCAGTGCCTCCCTAAGTGCTTCCTTTGGAGGCCCTGGTTGATTTAATTTTTTAGTTCATGAACTCCAGGGATTAACCAGTCTGCTACCCTAAACTGTAGTTCCTTCCTAACCAGAATTATGAATAATCTGCGATTTTATAAATTAGGCTGCATCAGGTGTATGGAAGCAGGCAGAAGACAGGAGATTCCTGGGTCACAGAATTGAGTGATAGTTTATTACTCATAGCAACAGCAGTAGTTAGACTTTTAGCTTTTTTGGTGCTGGTTCCTCAAGCCCTAATTCCCACAGAGCCATGCAAAGAGCTATATAACATTGCACATGTGGTGGGTTGCTTTACAGCAGAAGCACCCTGAGCTTATCTTCTATAATGGACAGTATAACCTTTGCTCCAGAAGAAGCTGTTATCTTTATTATACTGGACAGTGAGCATGCCTGCCCTTTGCTCTAAAGAAAGATACTTTATCTTCCAAAGTTTAGTATACACACATCTTCAAAAAGATAGTCTAGAACCCAGGGCCATTAGTGCCTTACTTTCCTGACTTGGGAGACACAGGAGCTATCCATGGAGAATTGTTTTCCCACATTGTTCTTGCTGCTCTTCTCTACGCTTAGGCTTGCTTAGGTCAAGTAAGTTTACCTGGCACTGAAGAGAGAGAAATTGGCAGTTTCTGCCCTGAAGGTTAGGGGAGATAGTCTGGTAGGGAAGAAGACATGCCACAAATACTTGTAACATAGGGAGACCTGAGCAATAAGAAATGTGAACCCCGGGTGCCTGAGTGGCTCAGTTGGTTAAGCGACTGCCTTCGGCTCAGGTCATGATCCTGGAGTCCCGGGATCGAGTCCCGCATCGGGCTCCCTGCTCAGCAGGGAGTCTGGTTCTCCCTCTGACCTTCCTTCCTCCTTCTCATGCTCTCTGTCGCTCATTCTCTCTCTCTCAAATAAATAAATAAAATCTTTGGAAAAAAAAAAAGAAATGTGAACCCCACTAGCACTGCTCTCATCAAGAACACTGATCCTTCTTACTAGATTTCTCCAGTCTGATGCTGTTGACTGATCCTCCTTCTTGAAACTCTTATCCCTTGTCACTGTGACCCATTTGTTCCAGGTTTTTCTCTTACCTCTTTTGGTTTCCTTCTCTTCCTACTTTTTGGCTTTGTCCTTTCAGCTTGCCCCTTAAAATGTTAGTGGGCCTCAGGGCTCCATCCTCAACTGTCTATTTAGGTAGAATGTTTTGTGACTCACTAACCCCCATGGCTTTAAAATGACAATGTTAAGGACTCCTATTTTACCCAGTTCTCTGCACTGGACACCTTTGCTTGGATTTATTCTTTTAGTACCAGGTGTTTGGGATATTGTGGGTATACAAGGTCATTTCATAGTCTCTGCCCTTCCCAGACAGTCTCATGCAAAGAGTGGCATTAATCAAATAATCACTCAAGAGAAGATGTTGGCTCTGGTTAAGGAGGTCAGGGAAGAGTTCCCTGAGACAATGACACTTGGACAGATGTGTCGTAATGATGAACAGCAGTTAAGTTGGGAAAGGGATTGGGAGAGAATTTCTGTCTGAGGGAACAGCTTTTGCAAAGGCTCTGTGGCAGAAGGGAATATGGTGAGCATAAGAGCTGAAGTTCAGTAGGGCTGAAGTGAGAGGGAACTTGGTGCAAAGTAAGGCTGGAGAGTTGGTGTGTGGGCCAGACCATGGACGGCCTGATAAGCTATGTTGAGTTTTGTCTTTGGCCCAAGAGCGGAGAGCTCCTGAAACTTTAAGCAGAGTTACGTATTTTGTTTTCTTTAAACACCTTTTATGTAAATAAAAATTCCTTGATTTGTTAAAAAAACACACACACAACATTGATATGGCTGGTATTTAGATCACGGGATTAAGTTTAAATAACCGGGAGTGCTTTGCAAAAACTCTTTGGCTTAGGTCATCGGTTTCATCATCCACTTCCGTTTTTCTCGAGGGGGCGGGGTGGAGAAAGGATTCCTCGCTTCTGCTGTCGGTCTAAACTGAAACACGTCCTGGAGTTCCGGCGCGCTGTGTAGTCGTCAGCGGTCTACGTAAAACTGACGAGGCGGAATTGCCGGGCAATAGGTGGGAGGGGTAAGTGGGAAAAATGCCGTGCGATTGGCTGTTTATCAGCCGTATGTTAATTAAGTGATAACTTGAACTGTCTTCTGAAACGCATTATGTTCAAAAACGCTTTGTCGAACTTTGGTAATGGAACAGTTCTTTGGGAAATGCATGCTAATATACATTTGGAAAGAATGGTGACGTTAAATAAAGTCACCATGGGTAAAATGTACGTGGGTTTCTTCCACTTCGGAAAGTTAGGAATGGTACTGTTAAGACTATACTTTCAGGGATCATTTCTATAGTTCGTTACTAGAGAAGTTTCTCTGAATGTGTAGAGTACCCGAAACCACGAGGAGGAGGTGTAGTGTTCTCTTCTGAGCGTGAAAACGGCGTTTGGCGTTGTTTACAACTGCTAATTGCCATTGATGATCGTTCTTCTCCTCTTTTTGGGGAGTTAGAGGGAGAGAATGCAGTCTGAGTGGTTTCGTTGTTTATGTCTGTACAAAACAGCATATGTGGTTTTTGAAGTATTGTGGTGGGTGCTATTAGAGGTGAATTACGTATGGTATTTTTTTGTTTTGTGTTTGGGGGGGTTGGCAGTTGGTGTTTTTTACGGCTTTGTTTTGGGTAAGAGGGGTAATGGGTTTTTTTGTGGTGTTTGTTAAGAGAATTGGGTGTTTTTTATTAGTGTACTAGTTTCTGGGAGAGTAGAAAGGCAGAAGTCGAACCAACCGGCGATCTGAGGCGGGACTGGGTTGAGAATTCTGAGTAGAAAACTGCTTTTAATTGGTTAAACTAGGTTCTATTTAGGTTTTTCTTAGAGTTTTTGTCAATAGTATTTTTGATGAGTAAATGTGGGTGTGTCTCTTTTTGGAAAGAAGTTTATATTAGAAAGTACTGTGTAAAGGAATTTTACTTTGTGTTCTAACGTGAACTTCTGTAGTTTTATTTTAGGAAGTTTCCTGATACATATATTAAGTTTTCATTTACTTTGCAGGAATTTATGTTGATGCAGTTAACTCCTTGGGCCAGACTGCACTTTTCGTTGCAGCATTATTAGGCCTTACAAAATTAGTTGATGTTCTGCTGGAATATGGATCAGATCCAAATCAGTAAGTATAATGATATGGTTAGTAGTATGCTTTTAAAATGAGTTGGGGCGTTTGGAAAACAATTTGAGAAGATAATTAAAATTACTAATTTATATCACTGAAATACAGTTGCATAGCTATGTTGAAACATAGTTTTAACTGCTAATGAAGTTTTCTGAGCAGTTTTACTAAGTCCAGTAAAATAAGGGGAACTTAATTGTTATTTATTAAATAGTATCATTTGCATTTTTCCACCCCAGGTTATTCACTTAAGCAGTTTAACATACCCACCAACCAATAATATACTTGGCATCATTTTCTCAGGATCACTTGCCTTGCTCTTGTAATTGTGGTCCAAAAGACCAAAAGTTTAATAGTTCGCCCAACTTTTAATGTGGAACAGTGTAGCACTTTTGCTCTTCCGAGGGCTTTCCCAGGCACCAGCTCACTTGATCTTCACAACCACCTCCTCGAGAGGGAGGGGACAGCAGGTACTTTTACAGTTCCTATTGGACAGAACCAGAAACAGGTTTTGAACACTTACATGATTCTAGCTGATTTCCACAGGAATTCCAGAATATAATCATAAACATCATAAAGTAACATTCCCATCTTACACGAGGAGGCCCTGTTTAATGTACTTTAAAAAGAAAAAGTATTGATATCAGAAGATTTGGGGGGGGTTGTTTTTTGTTTTTTATAGGGTTGCTTGCTTAGTGGGAGAAAACTTGCAAGCTTCCAAAGAAAAAACACCAATTGACATTAGAATTCTGTAACCCAGATATAAATTAATACAGTGGACATTTTGCTGTTTCCTTCTAGACTCACATATACTCTCCTGTCCTGTGTTAATGTTTAATTTCAAAGCTCAGAAAGAAAGGGCTGGCTCATCTGTTTGCAGGTAACAGTGTGGTAGGAGGCCACACTGGGAATCCCTGGAGTTCTTAACAAAAATGCAGCATTTTCCAGTCATCTGTAATTATGTCTGTTTTGTGGAGGCTTAGAGCTGGATTCTTTAAAGATCAAATCATTCAAACATTTAATATTCCAGGTTAGGAGAGCTAAGGCCCAGAAAATTTAAGTGACTGGCCTATAATGGTGTGTTAATGATTAGAGCTGAGACCGGGAGCCCAGGCATTAAGAACTCAGTTTGACTTTCCTTTTTTAGAAGTCCCCATAATGCCAGGGGGAGGTAGGAAAGCACATTGTCAAAGGGGGGAAGGCAAACCCCTTGGCTTTGTATTTTGTGATAGGACCATTTTCATGTGACTTAAAAAATATCTTTTGATCAAAGTGAAGGGAAATTTCTGGGGGGAGGTTGGATTACTAAGTGCTCAAAGGAAATGCTGTGATGGCACAGCCCTATTGAACTCAAAAAGTCAGATGCCTGTGGGACCAAGTGGAGTTAATGGGCACAGGCTCTCTCTAAGAAGGGTTAGGCATTTGTTGGTCCTGGGTAGGAAAGGGAGCCAGGAAAGCCAGATCTTCTAAATTCCCAAGAGGCTGAAAATCCCAATATTATTTTTTTAAAGATTTTATATATATATTTACTTTTTTTTTTTTTAAAGATTTTATTTATTTATTTGACAGAGAGAGACACAGCGAGAGAGGGAACACAAGCAGGGGGAATGGGAGAGGGAGAAGCAGGCTTCCTGCCAAGTGGGGAGCCCGATGTGGGGCTCGACCCCAGGACCCTGGGATCATGACCTAACCCGAAGGCAGATGCTTAATGACTGAGCCACCCAGGTGCCCCAAGATTTTATATGTTTATTTGAGAGAGAGAGAGGGAGCATGAGCTGGGGTGGGGGGGAGAGGGAGAAGCAGGCTGCCCATTGAGCAGGGAGCCCAATGTGGGGCTTTATCCCAGGACCCTGAGATCATGACCTGAGCCGAAGGCAGAGGCTTAACTGACTGAGCTACCCAGCTGCCCCTGAAAATCCCAATTTTTAATGTGAAATTTTCCAAATGTTAAATATTGTCCATTATTTTATTTTATTTTATTTTATTTTATTAATTAATTAAAAAATTTTAAGTAGGCGCTACACCCAGCATGGAGCCCAGCACAGGGCTTGAACTCACAACCTTGAGATCAAGAGTTGGATGCTTAACCTACTGAGCCACCCATGTATCCCTTGTCCATTATTTTAGATTCCTTTTTAAAACACTATGTCAGCCTAATAAAACATGCCTCTGAGTTGCCAAATCACTCTTGCAGGCCTCTAGTTTCAACCTCTAGGAGGATATTATGGTTCTTACAGTGCAGTGTGCAATAGGAGACTGAACTACCAGTAGGAGAGAGCTCACAATGATATCAAGTGGGTGCAGGCCAGCCTTATTGGCATCACCTGGGGAACTTGTAAAAAGTGCACATTCCTGGGCCTCATGCTTGCAGATTCTGATTTAGTCTGGTGTATACTCTGACACTCTGTATTTTTGACAAATATTCCAGTGGCTCATTAACTAAATTATGGTACATACATTAGAATACTATGCAGCTGTTAAAAACAATGGAGGTGGCTTGCATGTTGTCATATGGAAATTTCTCCAAGACACAGTTAAGTGAAAAAACTTAAATGCAGAACAGTTTACATAGCATATTCTTATTCCTCCCTGTATATGCAGAGAACATTTCTGAAAGCATACAAAAACATGTAACAGTAGTTGCCTTTGAGCAAGAGGATTAGGGGTCTGGAACTGGGAGACTTTTAAAAGAGATTTTATGGGGTGCCTGGGTGGCTCAGTTGGTTAAGCGACTGCCTTCGGCTCAGGTCATGATCCCGGAGTCCTGGGATCGAGTCCCACATCGGGCTCCCGGCTCGGCGGGGAGCCTGCTTCTCCCTCTGACCCTATCCCCTCTCGTGCTGTTTCTCTCTCTCTCTCTCTCAAATAAATAAATACATAAAATCTTTTAAAAAAAGATTTTATGTATTTATTTATTTAAAGATTTTGTTTATTTAAGATTTTATTTTTTCATTTGACAGAGAGAAACACAGCGAGAGAGGGAACACAAGTAGGGGGAGAGGGAGAGGGAGAAGCAGGCTTCCCGCAGAGCAGGGAGCCCGATGTGTGGCTCGATCCCAGGACCCTGGGATCATGACCTGAGCCAAAGGCAGACGCTTAACCGACTGAGCCACCCAGGCGCCCCAGAGTTGTGGATTCTTAATCAGATTGCTGGTGCTAGGGCTTTGCGGGCCTCCACTGTAGGACTTGGGAGATAGAGAGGGATGGTCTCTGGTTGGGCTGTGCTTCACCACCCCGACCCCAGGACACTATAGTCATGAAGAAATTGTTTCAGAGCAGCCAGTATCAAGGGGCAATGGGAAAAGGAACACCAGATTTAGAACCAGACCCAGACCTGAGTATGAATCTCAGCTTTGCCCTTTTGTTTCCTCATCTATTAACTGGAACATGATACCACTCTGAAGGGTAGAGGTAAGGATGGAAAAGGGATGTGTATAAAGCTCCTGTTGGCACAGCCTCACAAATGGTATTATAATCCTCCTCTCAAAGGTTGCCTTTGTAGAAAGGGAGCCTTGTGTCACCCATTGACTGCCCCCCACCCCACTCTGCGGAAGGCAGGAGTGTTATGGACACTGATACTAACACCTCCCCCTCCAGCCGCTGCTTCGATGGAAGCACTCCTGTTCACGCAGCAGCATTTTCAGGCAATCAGTGGATCCTCAGCAAACTGCTGGATGCAGGGGGTGATCTTCGACTCCATGACGAGAAGGGTCGAAACCCGCAGACCTGGGCCCTGACGGCAGGGAAGGAGCGCAGCACCGCGGTAAGGATGGGCCTGCTCTGTAGCCACAGCTGAGGCAGAGCACTGAGCTGGGAGTCAGGAGCCCAGGGGGCAGGGAGGGGCTGATCGTGGGGACAGCACAGGGCTGGCAGTGGCCTTGCCATTGGCACTGGATACACAGGCCTGGGCTGAAGCAAGTTAAACAGCTATAAAACCTCAGGCAAATCTAGTGAACCTTTTTGGTCATCCATTCAGTGAGGAGGGAGAATAATTGTAATTTTGACCCTTAACTAGCACTTACTACACATCAAATGTTCTGAATTAAATTAATTAAATATTAAGTCATTTAATCTTCACAACTTTGTCATGGAGATACTGTTATTGTCCCCATTTTACATATGGGGAATCTGAGGCCCATTGACATTTTGTAACTTGCTGAGGCCACACACTGGCAGGTGTGATGTGTTCTAATGAGCTCTAAATAACATAACAAATGTAAAGCATAAAGTGCAGGTACAATACTGGGCACATGGAGGGAAAAGGGAGGTGGGCAGAGTCCTCCATTCCCTCCCTCTGGTTCTCCAACTCCTTAGCTGTTGGCCTTGGACAAGTAATTTTGCTCCTTCTTCCTCAGTTTCCTCATCTGTTGAAGGAGGGAGTTGGACGAAATTTTCTTTCCTTTTTAAAATAATTTATTTAAATTCAGTTAATTAACATATAGATTATAGATTGGATTCTACAATGTGTTATTGGTTTCAGAGGTATAGTTCAGTGATTCCTCACTTACATAATACCCAGTGTCCATTACATCACGTGCTATCCTTAATGTCCCATCACCCAGTTACCCCATCCCCCCACCCCCTCCCCTTCAGCAACCCTCAGTTTGTTTCCTATGATTAAGAGTTTCTTATGGTTTATCTACCGTTCTGATTTCATCTTGTTTTATTTTTCCCTCCCCTCCGCGCTTCTGTTTTGTTTCTTAAATTCCACATGAGTGAGATATGATAATTGTCTTTCTCTGATTGACTTATTTCGCTTAGCATAATACCCTCTAGTTCCATCCATGTTGTTGCAAATGGCAAGATTTCATTTTTTTGATGGCTGAGTAGTATTCCATCATATATACATACCACATCTTTATCCATTCACATGTTTTGTTTTTAAAGATTTTATTTATTTATTTGACAGAGAGAGACACAGCGAGAGAGGGAACACAGGCAGGGGGAGTGGGAGAGGGAGAAGCAGGCTTTCCGCTGAGCAGGGAGCCCGACGTGTGGGGCTCGATTCCAGGACCCTGGGATCATGACCTGAGCCGAAGGCAGACGCTTAACGACTGAGCCAACCAGGCGCCCCTATCCATTCACATGTTGATGGACATCTGGGCTCTTTCCATAGTTTGGCTATTGTGGACATTGCTCTATAAACACTGGGGTACTTGTGCCCCTTCAGATCACTATATTTGTATCTTTGGGGTAGATCCCTAGTAGTGAAATTGCTAGGTTGTAGGGTAGCTCTATTTTCAACTTTTTGAGGAACAGGGAGTTGGAGGAAATTATTGCCAAATCACCTCCCTGGAAACATTTCCACACTTGTAAAAAATCACCTGGGCCCTATCCTTTCCACAGATTTCCCTGTCAGGGGCTCCTGGCTCCTCAGATCTTTCAGGTCAGAGTGTTCCTGGTCCACTGAAGGCCAGGGTAGCTCTTAGATCACTGCAGCATTGAATATCTCCGCGGTGTGTTGCAGATGGTGGAGTTCATGCAGCGCTGTGCCTCACACATGCAGGCCATCATACAGGGTTTCTCTTATGACCTCCTGAAGAAGATCGACTCCCCTCAGCGGCTCATCTGTGGCCCACCCCGGTTTGGCGGTCTCATACAGGGGTGAGTGCTGCCTTGAGCAGAATGGGAATTTGGCATCACCCCAGCCTTCCTTGTAGGAGCCCTGCAACGTGGGCCACCCAGGTTCCTCCATGTTGGTCCCATCTGGCATCTGGCCCACTCTAAGCGGTGAACTCTGACAGAGAAGAGGTGGCCGCTGCAGAAGTGGCCAGAGGAGCACCTTCAGCGGCCCTGCCCCCATGCAGGAATGTGGGGGGTTGGGCGGGGAAATGAGTTATGGGCTCTAGTGGGAACCACCCTGAGGTTAGTGGTTAACAAAGAACTTTTCAGGTCTGAGGAGCTCAGCAGAAAACTCCTGCTCAGTAGAGCAGCCAACTGACCTTTGTGTCATCTCCCAAAGCATGGAAAGAAGGCTCCTTTATTCCCAAGATTACAAAACACGAATGCTTAACTTACCTTCCTCAGGCTGTTTTAAGCTGGTGTGAGAGATCTGCTGCTAGCTGGGTGGGCAGCCTCCCTGCCCCCATCACTGGAGGTGGGCCTCAGGCTTCTTTCCATGCTCAACTACCTAACTCTTTTAAATTCTTAGGGCTTTATTGACTTAGGGTTTGTATGCACAGAATCCTTTCCATTTTAGTTTTCTCTGATGGCATGACTTTCTGTAATCAGGGTCTCTAGACTTGTCACACCCTCATGGTCTCCCTCTTTCTGTCCTGCCCTGAGCAAGTCCTGGTTTTCTTCCGATGAGCTGGATATCACTGGCTTCTCAGGAAAGATGAGTTAATTCCCTTGAGGACTAGTTACTCCTAACTGCTCCTCTTGCTGCCACTCTTGTGGGTCAGCATCTAGAACAACCTTTTATTTTTTTTATTTTTTAAAGATTATTTATTTATTTATTTGACAGAGAGACAGCGAGAGAGGGAACACAAACAGGGAGAGGGAGAGGGAGAAGCAGGCTTCCCGCGGAGCAAGGAGCCTGATGTGGGGCTCGATCTCAGGACCCTGGGATCATGACCTGAGCCGAAGGCAGACGCTTAATGACTGAGCCACCCAGGCACCCCTAGAACAACCTTTTAAAAATGGAAATCGAGTTGTGCCACTCTTTGCTAAAAACCCTTTAGGGCATTCTCCATAGCTATCAGGATAAACTCCCAAATCCCTTATCTGACCTGGAGGCCCTACTGGGTTCAACTCCTGCCACCTCCTTGCCTGCCCCTGCCACTCCCCCTTGTGTGGAGCTCCCTCATTCAGAGTTTGGAGAGACTTGTCCCAGTGTGTAATGATTTTATTCATATATGTTCTTGCCTGTTTCTAATAAGACTGAACACTGCCACCTGAGAAAAGGAGGTAAAACTGAACAAGAGACAAAGGCCTTTTATTTGGGGGTCTCAGAATTGCAGTCCACGGAGCACAGGTTCCAGTAGCCAGCAGAAAAGTGGGGAAATTGAGCCTTTTTTATGAGAAAGAAGGGGGGGTTATTATATAACAAATAAAGAAGAGAAGAGAAAAATAGATCTGTTAACTGGTGCTAACTGCTTGAGCTGTTTTTAACCGCTCCCTGTTTTATTGGTGCTGTCAAATGGAGCTGCTCTTGGTAGGTATTTGTTAACGATTCTGTCTTAAAGTTCGTACCAGCGGTTTTGTGGTGTGAATACCATTTGTTCTGCTGAATTTTATGGGCAACTTCTTGTAAAACCACTGCTGCTTCTGTCCCAGTTCAGGAGCTCGTTAGTCAGAAAGAGAGATGGAGCTTCCAAATTGCGTCTCTCATATTTTATAGTTAGATGGAACATTCTTCTTTTTATGGGGTTGGACCACAGAGTGCCTCATGGAAAGTAGAGTGGAAGCACACACATCTCCCTTTTTTAATGTAAAGAGACCATGTGAGTCTGTGGGATAAGAATTGGCCTCTCAGATCTGAGTGGGGCCATGTCAGATAAGATTCCTCACAGGTTCGTGTTTACATCTCAGAGCCTGGTTGGGGGAAAGACAATTGAGAAGAACGGACGGTTGTCTGGTTGTAGATAAGGGGAGTCCGTTTTCTCCCCTCCACCCAGCTGAGCTTACATAGACATGGCCTGAGGAATTTAGGGAAAAGAGCAAGAAATGTGGTTGATCTGAGTGCAGTTGTTGCCCGGGTCCCTGCTTAAACAGAGCTTCTGCCCTCCGAAGAGCCACTCACACGGCCGGGCGGCCCCAGTGTGGAGGCCTGCCCTTGCTGCCATCTCAAAATCTGTTGCCCTGCTCAGGAAACAGTTGCTGTCCCCTAGATCTTTACTTAACCTCCTAGCAGCTTAATGTGCAGAAGGGACCTCCTGGCCCGAGCTGCCAAGGAGATAAAGCCCGGAAGTACTTCCGAAAGCAGAAGTCAAAGAATTTACTTCTGTTCATGAAAAGTGGGCACATGGAGCCTCACAGAGCTCGCATGGGGTGAGGATGAGTGCACGCTGTCACCCGCAGCTCCTTTGCCATTTGCCGAGGAAGGGAACATGGCTCTGGCAGTAGCAGAATGTTTTGTTCTTCAGTCTGAGCCCAAACTACTAAATCAGAAAGCATTAACTGAGAACCTGCTGCATGCATGGCACTGTGTCAGCCTCTGAGAGCGAAAGAAATAAGCCACTCCTTTCAAGATACCTTCAGTTAATGGGGGTCCCAGTGTGCAGGTGCTGGTTTGGGTGTGGTATATGGGAAGAGCAGTGGCTGAATGAGCAGCGTCAGGGTCTGGTCTCTCCTGCTGCTCTGTGACCCCCGACTAACAGGTTCCCTCTGTCTGAGCTTCGTTTGTCCCATCTATAAAAACAAAAGTTGAATAAAGTATGTTTTGATTCTTTCCAGCTTTGACCATCTGAATTAATCCCCTCCAACCTCTCCAAACTTGGGAGTTTCAAATAGCAATAAATGTTTGTATCTCATACAATTTCTGTAGGTCAGGACTCAGGGAATGGCTTAGCTGTATGGATCTGGCTCGGGGTTTCTTACAAAGTTGTAGTCAAGATGTCAGGTGGGGCTTTATCATCTCAAGGTTTGGAATTGGAGGATCCAGTTCCAAGATGGCATACTCCCATGGCTGACAGATTGGGCCAGGGTGTTGAGCCTCTCCATAGGGCTGCTCGAGTGTCCTCACAACATGGCAGCTGGCCTCCTTCAGAGCAGGTAATCGGAGCGTCATCAGAACTGAAGCCCTGATGGATCCAGCCTTGGAATCCAACCACTCTGTCATTTCTTCAGTGTCCAGTGGGGCTAACAGGTCTGCCCTATCTGACCTGGAAGGGGTTTCACAAAGGCAGGATTACCAGGAGGTAGAAATCGCAGGGCCCTCTCATAGGCTGGCTATTATATCATCTGTAGTTCCGTGATAAAAAGTCAAGTAGTCAAGACAAAATGAACTACACATTCTCCTAGCTTGGTTCAGCATTGTTCCTCTGGATATGGGTGGCTAATTCTTAACTTTTCTTCCATTTAAAACTATTTCTAGAAACCCCAATGGCTCTCCTAATCGTCTGCTTAAAGCTGGAGTCATTTCTGCGCAAAATATCTACAGCTTTGGCTTTGGGAAGGTAAGAGGCTGCCAGGGACACCCAGCATTTGCAGGGCCAACTGGAGAGCCACCTGGCCCTGGCTCTGACCCCCTACCCCCAACTTTGTGCAGCTCTTCCTTCCTTATCCTCTCCAGAGAGGTAGTTCTCTTCTTTTACCACTTCTTCTTTTGTTTTGTTTTGTTTTTTTAAGATTTTATTTATTTGACACAGAGCGAGCACAAGCAGGTGGAGTGGCAGGCAGAGGGAGAAGCAGACTCCCTGCTGAGCAGGGAACCTGATGCGGGGCTCCATCCCAGGACCCTGGGATCATGACCTGAGCCAAAGGCAGACTTTTAACCAACTGAGCCACCCAGGCGCCCCTTCTTTTACCACTTCTGCAGAACAGAGACCCCTCAGTGCTCTGTCCTTACTGAAAAATGGAGAAAGCCCTGGAAAGTTCCCTTGAATGACCTTATGCTACATTTGGGGAGTTTAGAAAATGATCCTTTAATTAATTCCAGTGAGGGCCCCAGACTTGTCTCCTTGACGAGAAGCAGAGAGCTACACTGACCCCTTGGGTCTTATTTGTGTGTGTGTTTTAAGTTTATTTATGTATTTATTTAAGTAATCTCTGCACCCAATGTGGGGCTTGAACTCAGGAGCCGCAGATCAAGAGATCAAGAGTCCCAGAGATCAGGAGTCGCAGGCTCTTCTGACTGAGCCAGCCAGGCGCCCACCTCTCTCCCCTTGGGTCTTATTTGTGATTGACTTGCCCTCCATAAGTTTTTATTGGAATGCCTTTAAGGAATTGAGATTTTGAACTGAGAAATTTTTTTTTTTTTTTAAGATTTTATTTATTTATTTGACAGAGAGAGACACAGCGAGAGAGGGAACACAAGCAGAGGGAGTGGGAGAGGGAGAAGCAAGCCTCCTGCGGAGCAGGGAGCCCGATGCGGGGCTCGATTCCAGGACACTGGGATCATGACCTGAGCCGAAGGCAGACGCTTAATGACTGAGCCACCCAGGCGCCCCTGAACTGAGAAATGTTTTGAGGGAAAATAGTATCTTTTAGGTTCTTGGTTCTGCCCATCAGAGAGAGACCTCTGGGCATGTGGCTGGGTGTCTGGGTGCTGCTTGCCGACAGTTTAGTCTCTAGGCCTACGTCTGCTAGTTGTGCCAAGGCAGCCTTGGTGGGGAGCGGGGGAGAAGGAGCATCGGCTTTGGTCGCATGTGGGCTGGGGTTCTGTGGGGGCCGGAGCCTCAGCCTGGTACTTCGGACAGGCGTCTGGCCTCTTTTCCTGAGCCTTGGTTTCCTCAATAGTGAAAGAGAAAGAATATTACAACCTTGCAGGGTTTCTGGGCAGATTAAAGAGAACACAAATTAAAGAATAGTGTCCGGGGCATAGGGGAGTTCAGCAAGTTGGTCAGTTGCCCCTATTTTTATTTTAGCTGACTGACAAGATTCTTGGGGCGTTTTACTTTTCCTCTTTTCTCCCCTTGATTTGACACTGTGCTCTGCTTTCAGTTTTATCTCACAGGGGGAGCACAGCTGGCCTACCTAGGATCTCTCCCAGTAATTGGAGAAAAGGAAGTGATTCAAGCTGATGATGAGCCTACCTTCTCTTTCTTTAGTGGCCCCTACATGGTCATGACCAAGTAAGCAGAAGCTGGCCCGTGGGAGGTCTGACGTAGTCCCACAGGAAGGGTGGGCTTCATGTGACTTCCTTATGTGTGGAGGCTTTCTCCTCCAACACAAGGAAACATGAAGAACAGATGTCTAAATCAGGGTTTCTCAGCCTGGACACCACTGATGTTTGTGGCTGGTATTGTTTGTTGCTGGGGGCTGTCCTGTGCATGGTAGGAGGTTTAAGAGCATCTCTGGTCCTACTCACTAGATGCCAGTAGCAGCCTCTACTGACCCCCTTCCCCCACAGTTGTGACTGTGACAACCAGTGTCTACAGACCTTGCCAGATTCCACCCCCTCTTCCCCCACCCCATTGAGAACGACTCATGATGCTGTTCTAACCTCTCGGTTTTCTAGAGAGTTTGAGGAAGCCTAGTGGTGACTGTCTGGCCTCTGATTTAGGCCAGAGGGTATTGATCAAGACTTCCGTGGAAGCCGGAACAGGCATCAGCTGCAGCTCTCGGCAGCCAACTGCAGCAGGAGCGGCAATAAGGGGATTTGGCTATGACAGAAGTCCTGGGGATGTTCTCAGTCCTGCCTTGGGCAGAGTTGTGCTGCCCAAGGTCTCTTGCTCTCCTTGAACCTGGATGCTTCTTCCCTGCCTCAAAGAAGCACCCTTCCAAAAAGGCCTCTGCCAGCCTCCTGAGGCCCTCTGTCCCTTACAGATACACCCTTGTTTCCTGCCTGTGCCACAGATTTGTAGCCAGGTCCCCCCTTCTCTTTGTCCTACTGCTGTGGTCTTTGTCCAAGTCATCAGTGTCCCTCACCCAGACTGGCCTCCTAGCCAGCCCCCCATTCTCTGACACCCCTTCCTACCATTCCCCACACTGCTGGTGCTGTTGTCTTTCTAAAATGCAGACCTGATCGAGTCACTCCCTCCCTTGAATCCTTCAGTGACTTCTTGCCACCTATACTAAGTTCCCCAGGGTGCTTTAGGATAGGGGGAGGAGGGGAGGCGGAGGGGAGGACTCAAGGGTGCAGGGTTGGGGGCGCTTTATAGATTCCTTGTAATACCACTTCTCTGGTCTTCAGCTGGGAGAGCTGCTCACTCCCTGCTGCTCACATTTTTTCCTGTCCTTGTAGCCTGGTGTGGAACGGGAGCAGGGTCACAGTGAAGGAGCTGAATCTCCCCACCCACCCTCACTGCAGCAGGCTTAGGCTGGCTGACTTGTTAATTGCGGAGCAGGAGCACAGCAGGTGAGAAGGAAGTCCAGGGGCCTGGTGCATTACAGTCCAGGTCTCTTTACAGACCCAGGTTCAGGGCTATACAGTACTGTCCCTGGGGTGTAGAGACCAGCCCCCCTCAGCCTCAGTATTTCCTGACTGTTAGAATGGGTTCATTTGACTTCCAAGGGCTACCAAGAGAGAGAAGGGGGGTTAATGAATAGCCGGAGTGGTGGGGATGGCGGGGATGGCTTAATTCTCTTAGTTGATTGACTTCCCATAACCCGTGTCTCTGATGGTCCAGCCTCCCGTTCAGCAGCCCCCTGAGGCCCTTCCCCGTTACGGCCTTGTGCCCATCAGGATAGCATGCATAGTCCTGTCTTCACAGACCATGGCTGTGCATGAGATCCACGCAACTGAGGAACTGAGGCTCTGCCATTGAGGACATGCCCAAGGGTGTACCTTAGTAACCTGGGTTTCCTGTGGCTCCGGGGTCAGCCCTTCAGCTCTTGCTGAGGCAGAATCTTGATTCATGGTTTCACTCTGGGACTGCTGAGTGAGTGGACCTGGTTCCTTGAGTAGGCCACCCAACCCCTGCAAGAAGTGTGTCAGAGGCCAGCCTCTTCCTTTTGGGGAAGTCAGTGTAAAGGGACCCAAGGAAGCTGGAAGGACGCATGTACACAATGTGGACTTTGACATGAGACTGAGGGGTGTGTGACTTGGGCAAGTTACTGACATCTCCCTGACCTTGGTTTCCTTATCTCAAAAATGAGTATAAGGATATATATATTTCTTACAGGTGGTTGTTAGGATGTGGATGATGTGTGTAAAGTGCCTTGATCAGTAGCTCTTGGCGACAATGTCGTTGTTACTGGTGACTCTGAGTCCTCAGGGTTTGATCAGTGAGAGGCCATAGATTTCCCTACCCCCTTCTCCCCCCACCCATCCTGTTTTCTTAGAAAGACATAATGTACAAATGCTGTTTGTTTAGAATGTGTTCAAGGGGCCTAGAAGGAAGATAGGCACTCATTTTTTCCTCCTATCTTCTTTTCCCTCTGCCGCATCTGAAGCTGCTTTTGTTTTGTAGCAAGCTCCGGCACCCCCACCTGCTGCAGCTGATGGCTGTGTGCCTGTCCCAGGACCTAGAGAAGACCCGCCTTGTGTATGAGCGCATCACTGTCGGCACACTGTTCGGTGTCCTCCACGAACGGGTAAATGGCTGTTTCCAGGGATTTTGTCTTGCTGCCCTCCCCACTTCTCCCCACTGCCCTCTTCCCCTACCCCAGCAGTGAAATTTCCATTAATGTGTGCAGGGAAGATAAACCTCCTAATTCTTTACTTTCTAGGGCTATATATGCACCATTTAAGGCTGATAAGCACCTGGCTGGAACTAGTGTAATTTTATTGCTGTCTGTCCTGTTTTTTCATCAGAACTCTAAGAGCTCAACAGACCTAGAAAACAAACAGATGCGTTTCTAGCTAACTGTAATCAGGCAACCCTTGGCTGGCTTGCTTGTTTACTTGCTTGCTTTATTTATTTATTTGTTTGTTTATTTTTTACAGATTTTATTTATTTATTTGACAGAGAGAGAGTATGTATGCACAAGCAGGGGGAGTGGCAGGCAGAAGGAGAGGGAGAAGCAGGCTCCACCGCATTGATCTGAGCTGAAGGCAGATGCTTAACCAACTGAGCCACCCAGATGCGCCAACCCCTGGCTTTAATTCCCTGTATTTTCACTTGTGTCTTTCAGGACCTTTGCTGTAGATAGAGGTTTGTTTATATACAGACCTGTATCACTCCCTCTCACTTTTCAAATTTCCTTATGGGAACATCTTCCAGGGCCCACAGACTCCCTAAAGAAGTGTGCTTTGGGCTGAGATGTGGCTTCAGAGAGGTTCTGAAGCATTTGCTTTTCTTTCTCCATGACTTTGTTCTAAAGACCCTGGGCAAGAATGAGAAGAGACCCTCCAGGAAGGGTCCTTCCCCAAAATGGCCAGCCATTCCTCCTGCCTGAGGACTTCCTATTAGTGTTATTTCTCCTTCCCTCCCCATCCCTCCCCTTTCTTCTCTTGTCATTTGATGAAGCCATTACCTTGAAATGCCATTTCTCTGGGGCACCTGGGTGGCTCAGTCATAAAGCGTCTGCCTTCAGCTCAGGTCATGATCCCGGGGTCCTGGGGATTGAGCCCCGCATTGGGCTCCTGCTTGGCGGGAAGCCTGCTTCTCCCTCTCCACTCCCCCTGCTTGTGTTCCCTCTCTCGCTGTGTCTCTCTCTGTCAAATAAATAAATAAAATATTAAAAAAAAAAAAAAGCCATTACTCTGGGGAACAGGATAGAGAGCTCAGAAATAAAGCTACGCTTATGTGGTCCATTAATGTGCAACAAAGGAGGCAGAAACATACAATGGGGAAAAGACAGTCTTTTTATCAAATGTTGTTGGGAAAGTTGGACAGCCACATGCAGAAGAATGGAACTGGACCACTTTCTCACACCATACACAAAAATAAACTCAAAATGGATTGCAGACCTAAATGTGAGCCTTGAAACCATCAAACTCCTAAAAGAAATCACAGACCGTAATCTCTTGGATATGGGCCTTAGCAACATATTTAAGGATATGTCTCCTCAGGCAAGGGAAACAAAAGCAAAAATAAATTACTGGAAATACACCAAAATATAAAGCTTATGCACAGCAAAGGAAATCACCAACAAAACAAAAAGGCAACCGACTAAATGGAATAAGATATTTGCAAATGAAATATCTGATAAGGAGTTAATATCCAAAATACATAAAGAACTTATATAACTGACTATAAAAAATGCCAAATAATCCCATTAAAATGGACAGAGGACCTGGATAGACATTTTTCGAAAGAAGACGTAGAGATGGCAAACAGACACATGAGAAGATGTTCAGCATCACTTATCATCAGGGAAATGCAAATCAAAACTACAGTGAGATATCACCTCACACAAGTCAGAATGGCTAGAATCAGAAAGACAAGAAATAACAAGTTTAGCGAGGATGTGGAGAAAAGGGAATCCCATGTGCATTGTTGGTGGGCATGTAAATTGGTGCAACCACTGGAAGATAGTATGGAGGTTTCTCAAAAAATTAAAATAGAATTACTATATAATCTAGCAATTCCACTACTAGGTATTTATGCAAAGAAAATGAAAATACTGGGGTGCCTGGGTGGCTCAGTCGTTAAGTGTCTGCCTTTGCCTCAGGTCATGATCCCAGGGTCCTGGGATGGAGCCCCGCATCAGGCTCCCTGCTCGGTGGGAAGTCTGCTTCTCTCTCTCCCTCTGCCTGCCACTCCCCCTGCTCATTCTCTCTCTTTCTCAAATAAATAAATAAAATCTTTTTTTTTTTTTTTTTAAGATTTTATTTATTATTTATTTGACAGAGACACAGCAAGCAAGAGAGGGAACACAAGCAGGGGAAGTGGGAGAGGAAGAAGCAGGCTCCCTGCCGAGCAAGGAGCCCGATGCGGGGCTCGATCCCAGGACCCCAGGATCATGACCTGAGCTGAAGGCAGATGCTTAACGACTGAACCACCCAGGCGCCCCAATAAATAAAATCTTAAAAAAAAAAAAAGAAAATGATACCAATTCAAAAAGATATATGCAGCCCTATATTTATTGTAGCATTATTTATAATAGCCAAGATATGGAAGCAACCTGTGTCCATGAACAGGTGAAGTGGTAAAGAAGATGTGAGATATATATATGTGAGTATGTATATATGTATGTGTACAATATATGTATGTATAATATATAGGATATATGTATATACATATATATAATGTGAAATTATTATAATGTGAGATGGTATGTGTCTCCAGGGTGGGCTCACCACATATGGAATATTACTCAGCCATAAAAAAGAATGAAATCTTGCCATTTTCAGTAATGTAGATGGACCTAAAGAGAATATTATGCTAAGTGAAATAAGTCAGACAGGGGTGCCTAGGTTGTTAAGCATCTGCCTTCGGCTGAGGTCATGATTCCAGGGTCCTGGGATAGAGCCCTGCATCGGGTTCTCTGCTCAGCGGGAAGCCTGCTTTTCCCTCTCACTCTGCCTACTTGTGCTCTCCCTCTCTTTCTCTCTCTCTGTCAACTAAATAAATAAAATCTTAAAAAAAAAAAAAGTCAGAGAAAGACAAATATATCATTTCACTTGTATGTGGAAACTAAAAAAACAACCAACCAAACAAACAATAACAGACTCATAAATACAGAGACCAAACTAGTGGTTGCCAGAGGGGCAGAGGGTGGGGGATGGGCAAAATAGGTGAAGGGAATTAAGAGGTACAAGCTTAACGTTATAAAATTATAAGTCATGAAGATGAAAGTATAGCGTAGGCAATATTGTAATAGTGTATGGTGACAGATGGTGACTCTACTTACCGTGGTGAGCATTATGTAACATATAGAATTCTTGAATTACTGTGTTGTACAGCTGAAACTAATACAATATTGTATGTCAGTCATACTTCAATAATAAGTTTTGGGTTTTTTTTGTTTGTTTTTTCAAAAGAATGCCATTTCTCTGGGGGAGAGACCAGTATGACTTTAATCAGCCAGATACGTTGGTGTGAGCGAATTTCTTTCCTCTTAGGCTCAGTCATCTTTCTGGGACAGGGGCTGGACTGGTCCTTTAGGCTTCCAGGTTCTCCCGGCAGCACAGGCTTGAATGGGGGGGTGCAGGGCAGGTTCATTGGTGGTGGGATGGTGGTGGTGAGCCCACCCTGGAAACACATACCAGGCTTTGAGAATTTTCTCCTTGTTTTTTGTGGTGTAAAGTAGCTCAGTTCAGGGAAAGGAGTCCAGCTTTGGAACCGGGGGGCCCTGGGTCAGTGGGACTTTAGGCCAGTCACTTAACCTCCCTGAGCGTGAGGTTCCCCGTTTGTAAAATGGGAATTCTGGGTAGCTGTGAGGATCAACTGAAAAGACTTTGGAAATTGCAAAGCATTCTCCCGCATCCAGGGCCCAGCCCTATTGCTCCTGGCCATTTTATCCCTTGATTCCAGCGCTCCCAGTTCCCTGTGCTGCACATGGAGGTGATCGTGCACCTGCTGCTCCAGATGTCCGATGCCCTGAGATACTTGCATTCCCGGGGGTTTATCCACCGCTCCCTCAGCTCCTATGCCATTCACATCGTCTCCACAGGTGAAGCAAGGCTAACCAACCTGGAGTATATGATGGAAAGGTAGGTGCTGTAGAGAAAGAATCTGATCTGGGCGGGCCTCTTCCTCATTGGTGGGCTGAATTGTTCATCACTGGGGAAAGAGGTTTCCCAAATGCCTTGCCCTGTCTGCCAAGGTTAGGACTTTGGGGAAGTTGCTTCTGCTCAAGATATCGTCATTTTAATAAACATTTAACAAGCAAGGGCCCCTATTAGCCAGTATGTGTAAATGCTCTGTCTACTTCAAAATTTTCAGTGACTTAACACAACCAAGGTGTGTTTCTCACTCACATTGCAGTGTAGTGTGTGTGTTGGAGGGAGGCACCCACTGTGTTCCAAGTTCCTCCCATCCATAGTTCTGCTGTCTCCAAGCCTCAGTCCCCCACTGTGGTCTTTGCATTGCTGGTCAGTGAAGGGAGAGCATGGAGGGGCACGTGGTATTTAGGGGCCAGCCTGAAGTGGCTATATCATTGCTTCCCACTTTGTAGTCTCCTCCTCACTGCAGGGAGGCTGGGAAATGTGTCGTAGCTGTGTATCCTGGAAGGACAGAGAGGTGATGGGTGCTGATGAGCCTTACAGTTGGTCATGCCTTCTACTCCTGGGCCAGGTACTTGGCTGCGTGGGCACCAAGGGCATTCCCTGCCCTAGAGGGGCTCAGCGCAGTGAGGGGGCAGAGACAAAAACAACACCCTCATTCAAGGGTTGTTGGGTGGGCTTCATTTTCCATTTGGCAGGAGTCAAAGTCCTCCTGAGAGTTGGGGGTACCTGCTGTCTCCTGTCCCTGGGCTCTGGAAGGCAGAGGACCTCTCCTGTGCTTCCTTGCTGCCTTCCACAGCTCTGAGCCTTCAGCCCATTGTTGGTTCTGCTCTGCTGTGAAGCTTCAGCCACTGGGCAAACCTCTTGCTCAGCCCTGCCTACCTCAGTTTACCTTTGCCCCCACCTATGCCCCCTCCCCACCCCACCCCAATCACTGAGGCTTTGTTTCAGAGTTTCTTGCTGGTCATTGCTCCTCGCATATTCTGTAATGTATTTTTCTCACTATGTGAAAAGCTCTGTGAGGGCAGGGATTTCTGTTTTATCCACTGCTGTATCTCAAATGCCTAAAACAGGCCTTCACACAGTAAGCGCTCAGCATATGTTTTTTGAATGAATGAAACAGAAAGACTTCCCAGACTGCGCGTTCCCCTGGTCCTTCTGCCTGCAGAGCAGAGTCGGGGGCTTGGTTGTATTTGGCCCATGTGGGCCTTGGTGAAGAGTTTGAATTCTTTATCCTAAGAATACTGGGTGACACGAAGGGCTTTTTTTTTTTTTTTGAGCAGGATGGTGTCATGGATGATTGACAGGCTAAGAAGGTCCCTTTGGCTCCTGCATGTGAAGAAGGGGCTGAAAGGGGACCAGAGAGAGGCAGGGGAACAGTTGGGGTGTGACTGCAGCAGTTCTCCACGTGAGTACTGTCTCTAGTCGAGCTGCTCAGCCTCAGATCTGGTCCATTCTCAGTTCCAGTTTAAACCTTCCCGTGTCTCCACGTTGCCTACAAGATGAAGTCCAGGCACTTTGCAGGGTGGGGCTCTGCCCACAGTGCCAGCCATGTCGCTTCCCCCACCCTGCCTGGCATCTGAAGCTGCTTTTGGGCTAGGCCATTTCTGGGTGCTGCTCCCTGCATCTGGAATAGTCGGCATTCACCTGTTTATCCTCTTAAACTCACCTCAGGCACAATCTCCCACCACAACCATGAAGCCTATCCTGAAGCCCTGGTCCCCACAGCACTTTGCGTATTCCGTTCCTCCGAGGCCAGATGTGTCTGCACCACCAGAGGGTGACCTCTGGGAGGGCAGGGACTGTGCATGTTCCTTGTCAGCTCAGGGCCTGCCACATAGTAAGTGCTCATTTGAACGTCGGTTAAATGAACAGAAGAGTCTAGATGATGGGAAAACTTTAAATGGTTCAGAACGGGATTTACCACTTTGGCTATGTGTGCAGGAGCAGTAGAAGCTAAGGGATTTGGACATTTTTGCCTTCCATAACAGAAGAGGCTTTTCCGGAAGGCTGCGGCAGAGTCCAAGCTATTTGCTGGTGATGGAGCGCCATCTGTTGTTGATATGGAGGCATGACTGCTTGTTCTGCCAGAGTTCTCCAATAGAAATGTGAATCCTAGAGTGAAATACATCTTTGGAGATGGCTCAGCCCAGCCTTGTCTTTTACAGATGAGGAAACTGAGGCCCAGAGAGGGGAAGAGATGGTCTCAAGTTACCCAGCTGTGGCTAGAACGAGGTGGTAGAGGATGTTTCGTGCCTATCAGGGCAGAATGGATTGGAGGTTAAGGGTAGGAAGCCCAACTAGGAGGCCGTACTTCCGGGCCTGGTGGTGACTAAGGAATCAGAATAGAAGTGAAAAATGTGAGATGCACTGAGAAGCTGGGGTCCACAGATGGGTCAGGTAAGGGGCTTGGAGGTAACTGAGTAGGAAGGTGTGTGGTTTCTTTTGGATTTGTTGACCTCAGAATGGAACTTCAGGCAGAAACATCAGTCAGCAAGCAGTTCCAGCCACAACAGCATACCCTTCTTTGACAACTGATAACATGAGCTGAGATCCAAGAATCCAGAGTAACTTTCAATTCCACATTTATTTTTGGTTAACACTCTATTTGGGCTGGTTGGTTTGTTGAATGTCATTGTCAAGGGTAACACTCCATCTCGTGGCATAAAAATGATACAGCAGTTTATCTTATTCTTCACCTCCTTCTTAATGGAATCTTTAGAACTGGAATTGACCTTGCAAGTGGTATCACATAGCCATAGCCAAATGTAATTTTAATGATGTCAGAGATGAAGCCTAGAAAAATATCTGCCCCCGAATGACAGCCAGAAAAGAAGCTCCTCTGCCCCCCAACTAGCTTTAACTGAGAAGGAAGGCGGATTGTAAAAGAAGAAGGTGAGTGGATGTAAAAGAGAAAGAATATAAATGCTTGTTGTAAGTGACTGGTCCCTTACCAGAGCCTTAGACAAGCCTGAGAGGCCTGAGAAGGTAGATGAGTGTTTCCCTTGAAGAACCACCCCACAAGGTGAAGAGCCAAGCATGCTAGGTCCTCAGAGTATATCTCTGATAGTAAAACAGCCCATTGCTTTTTCTGTGATATTAATGTGGTATTGGCATGCCTCTAGACTGTTCATGCTATACCGGGCCATGCTTAACTATTCAGCAATACAACCAAAAAGTCAATACCAACTTTTCTAACTTCCTGAACTCACTACCATTTACCAAAGGTCTGCTGGAAGAAATACTATTTAAGGAACTTTTCTCAAAGTCTGAGACACCCATCCCATCCTCAAATCTTTTTGCCAGACCAGCAAAGAACTTCTGGTCACTTGCTTTTTTAAAAATTTAATCATTGGAGCACCAGGGTGGCTCAGTTGATTAAATGTCTGACTCTTGATTTGGGTTCAGGTCATGATCTGAGGGTCATCAGATCGAGCCCCACGTCAGGCTCCATGCTTAGCAGGAAGTCTGCTCAAGATTCTCTCTCTCTAAAATAAATAAATCTTTAAAAAAATGATCTGCTAGCGTTTACAGTCTACCATAACATTCATAATAATAACTTACTTGTATGTGCTTTATGGCTCAGAGTGTTGCCACACACAGGATCTCATTAGATGCTCATGGCAGCTGTAGACAGAAATCAGTGCTGACCTCACCCTGAGGACTCTTTTTTTTTTTTCTTAAAGATTTTATTTATTTGACAGAGAGAGAGCGAGCACATAAGCAGGGGAAGCAGCAGGCAAAGGGAGAGGGAGAAGCAGACTCCCCACTGAACAGAGAGCCCGATGTGGGACTCGATCCAAGACCCTGGGATCATGACCTGAGCCGAAGGCGGATGCTTAACCAACTGAGCCACCCAGGCACACCCCCTTGAGGACTCTTGTTGGCCCAAGAGACATTTAGGATGCTCTGACTTAGTTCTCAAGGAATCTAGTTGGGAAGTTGAGTTTTTCAAGCCAGTCAGTGTACTTTTGAGTACTGAACTGAGAAGGCTTGGTCCCAAGAGGGCAGAGTTCAGAAAAGAAGCAATCACAAGGAATTGGAGGAGTCCCACAAGACTTTGATAAAGCAGATGGGGCTTGATGGGGTCTTGAAAGAGTCTTATACTCATTTATTCAAAAGTAGGCATTGAGGCCCTCATGTAAGTTTAGATATACATGATATGAAAGAGATAAGGTGCTGCTTCTCATGGAGTTGACTCTAGCAGAGGGGAGAAGAAAATAAGCAGTAAATAAATGAACAAACCTTCAGAAAATAAGTCCTCTGAAGCCAATAAAATAGGACTATAGGTGATCAGGGAGAGCCTCTCTGAGGAGGTAATTTTTGAGCTAATACCTTTGTTACAAGAAGCAGCCAGTCACCCAGGGATCTCTGGGTAGAGCATGCCATGCAGAAGAAGCCAGTTTGCAGTGCAAAGACCTGAAGTGGTGACACGTATTGGAGAAACTCACAGCGGGCCCCCGTGACTTGAGTGAAAGCAAGAGAGAACAGTCAGATGCGGTGGAGGGTGGGCAGGGCCCACTCTGGTAGATTGGAACAGCAGGCGTTGAGGGTTAGCTCAGTGTCAAGCTGGGTTTCTAGAAGCTCAAGGAGGTTGCCAGTCTTCAGAGGCAGATGTTTCACAAATGTACTGTATGATGTTCACAATGCTCCTTTAAGACATGAACCTGACCTTGTGTTTCCTTCTGTAGCCAGGATGGACGTATACACAGGGACCTGACTCGAGTGCCCCTCCCGACCCAGCTGTACAACTGGGCTGCCCCAGAGGTGATCTTACAGAAGGCAGCAACAGTGAAGTCAGATGTTTACAGCTTTTCTATGATCATACAGGAGATTTTAACAGGTAGATCCAAGAGCACATTGACTGTGACCAGAGTCTCTACTCTTAGGTTGGATTTTTTTTTTCCCTTAAGAGTTACTTAGTGGGGAGCCTGGGTGGCTCAGCTGGTTAAGCGGCTGCCTTTGGCTCAGGTCATGATCCCAGGGTCCTGGGATGGAGCCCCGCATCAGGCTCCCTGCTTGGCAGGGAGCCTGCTTCTCCCTCTCCCTCTGCCTACTTGTTCTCTCTCTCTATCCCTCTGTCAAATAAATAAATAAAATCTAAAAAAAAAAAAGAGTTACTTAGTTTTATGAAAATGCAGACATAGAAAAATCTCTTCAAGGAAACTTCTTTGTGCTTATGGAAGATATGAGATGATCTCCCAGAAGTCTTTTTCTTTTCTTTTTTCTTTTTCTTTTCTTTTCTTTGATTTATTTATTTTTTTTAAAGATTTTATGTATTTGACAGAGAGAGACACAGCGAGAGAGGGAACACAAGCAGGGGGAGTGGGAGAGGGAGAAGCAGGCCTCCCACCGAGCAGGGAGCCTGATGCGGGGCTCCATCCCAGAACCCTGGGATCATGACCTGAGCCGAAGGTAGACACCCAACGACTGAGCCACCCAGGCGCCACCAAGTCTTTTTCTTTTAACCTGTTCTTTGAGGCTTAGCCAAGTCCACTTACCATCCTGTCAAAGGTAATGCATTTAACCCAAGCAAAGTTTTTGAACTGAATATTGCTGTCAATGCTTAGGGGTCTCTGTGAGATGCCCCTTAAGAACTTGTAAATGAGGGGTGCCTGGGTGGCTCCGTTGGTTCAGCTTAGATCATGATCAGGGGTCCTGAGATCAAGCCCTGCATTTGGCAATATCCCTGCTCAGCGGGGAGTCTGCTTCTCCCTCTGCCCCTCCCCCTGCTCGTACTGTCTCTCGCTCTCATTCTCTATCCCTCAAATAAATAAAATCTTTTTAAAAATTAAAAAAAAAAAAAAAAGAACTTGTAAATGAGGGGGAAAGACTGGCCTTGGAGAGGTAAACTATGAAATCAAACAAACCTAGGGTTTAGTGTGTATATAAGCAGTGTCACTTGAAAGATGTGGAAGCCTTTCCAAACCTGCAAGACCCTAGTGTGAAGGAAGTGATCACATATCTGAAGACACAATCTTTGAGGAGAGGGGAAACACACATACACACATATAGTAAAACCACATTCACTGAGGGGGTAAGTGAGAGTCCCTTCCCACTTAGCATAGTTTATGGTCTGAGAGGCAAAACCACACCTTCCATGAGAGGAATGCACTGGGCTACGGATCCTAAAGCCATGAAACATTCGCTGTGGTGCTCAGGTCCGCCAGCAGGGGGCCCACGTGCACATGATTCCGACACTGTCTCTGCAGCAGGGATTTCCCTCGTAAATGGGTAAAGTGGCTTCTTGTTTATATGATTGGACTTACAGGTAGTTTTTTCTATAAAGAGAAATTAATATTTAAAGGGGTTGAGTGACGGGGCGCCTGGGTGCCTCAGTTGGTTAAGCGACTGCCTTTGGCTCAGGTCATGATCCTGGAGTCCCTGGATCGAGTCCCGCATCGGGCTCCCTGCTCGGCGGGGAGCCTGCTTCTCCCTCTGACCCTTCCCCCTCTCATGTGCTCTCTGTCTTTCTCATTCTCTCTGTCTCAGATAAATTAAAAAAAAAAAAGAAAGAAAGAAAGGGGTTGAGTGGCTTGACTAAGGTTACCCAATTTTACCTGATTTCTTTTTTTTTAAACATGATTTCTTAATGCTACTCTTTCCTATGAATTTTTCCTTAACAGATAACATACCCTGGAATGGTTTAGATGGCTCAGTTATCAAAGAAGCCATAGTCTTGGGAAATTATTTAGAAGCTGATGTCAGGCTTCCAAAGCCTTACTATGATATTGTTACGTCAGGCATCCAGGTCAAGCAGAAAGACCGAACTATGAACCTTCAAGATATCCAGTACATTCTGAAGAATGACTTAAAGGTAAGCTCTGAAGCTGTTAGTTTATTTCAGCTTACTCATCACAGTGGTGTAGGGGGCTTAGAGACCAGGAAGAAGCTAGAGATCAAGTTGTAAGAAGTTTTGGAAATCCTCATTTCATCACTCTCTTTCTGGGCTCCCAAGAAAAGGAACTCTGAGCTGCTTCACTTGGTGGGAGCAGCAGGGAATTGATGAAGGAGGCTGGGGAAGGTCAGCACATAGAGGGGCATAGGCACATAATGTGATTCAGTGACTGGGAGCTATTGTTATTATTTAATTTAACTTGATTTAATTTAATTTTTAAGGATTTTATTTATTAGAGAGAGAATGAGAGAGAGAACACAAGCGGAGAGGGGCAGAGGGAGACAAGCAGATTCCCTCTGAGCAGGGGAGCCCAACATGGGGCTTGGTCCCGGGACTCCAGGATCATGACCTGAGCCGAAGGCAAATGCTTAACTGACTGAGCCATCCAGACATCCCTATTGTTATTATTTTAAAAATATTGGTAATAACAATGAATTAGCTAATTTGGGTTATAGTCAGTCTGCCCAACAGGAGGAAGAAGGATTTATTTGATACCTAGATCTGTTTCAAAAACATCAGTGACAGGGCACCTGCCTGGCTCAGTTGGAAGAGCATGAGATTCTTGATCTCAGAGTTGTGGGTTTGAGACCCACATTGGGTATAGAGATTACTTAAATAAACTTAATAAAAAAACCAGCGACATTCAAATGATTATAAATATGTCCTTAATGATATTTCCCTTGTTGAAGGATTTTCTTGGAACCCAGAGAACTCAGCCAACTGAGAGCCCCAAGGTGCAGAGATATGAACTCCATCCTGATGTCAATGTCTATCTAGGACTGACCTCAGAACATCTGAAAGAGACCCCTAACTTGGAAATAAAAGAGCTAAAGGAAATGGGTATGGCCTTAACCCACAGGTTAAGCATTATTTGACATGAATGTTTTAGGAGAGTTGCAAGCTACAACTAATCAACTCCTCCAAACTGTACACGTCACTTACACTTGGAAATGGTGGATGCCTTAGGAAAAAAATCAAGATTCTTGAAATTACTAAGTTAAATTTTTTTGGCTCCATATGCACCTTGGTTGGATCCAGAGCTAAGCAGTAACAACTAGTTTATTTCTAGCATGATTATTCTTAGGAATTGATTTAATTGCTTCCCAAATAAAAATGGTGATTTTAAAATTCAAAACTATTATCTGTTCATTATAGAAAACTTGAAATCATACAGAGAAGAAAATTACTTATCATTTTAATTCTGCCACTTAGAAATAATTTATCAATATTTTGGTGTTTTCCTCCAACCTTTTCCTATAGCCGTACAGCTTTTTAGTACATTTAGAAATCTTAGAATTCAGAGCTAAAGAGGACCTAGCAATCATCCAGCTTAATATCCTCATATTCCAGATGAGAAAACTAAGGGCTTACTTAGGACTCCAGACTTATTACAGAGCTGGAATCCAGGCCAAGTGACCATTCTCTCTGTCTCTTTGGACAGGGCTGAAAGCCTCCAGAATGGCATCTCATTACTTTGGCTCTTCCATCCTGTTCTCTGCAAACAGGGGTGATGGGTGGTCAGTTCTGGGGTTATTTTTTGAATTATGATTCTTCCCGTGATACAGTGGCTACTTTTATCTGATACTCACCTAGAGCATAACTTTAACTGACATGAGTATTCAAACTCCTTTGTATGTAAAAAGAAGCTATGAATTTAGTCCTTGAGATTTAGGGGTCTGTAATTTCCATGTCCTGAGAGTTATGTGTGTTTTGAACACACTGTAACTTAAGCTTAGAACATTTTCCCCAGGATTTGATCTCTCCTCAATTTTCTACCTCAACTCATGTCAAAATGGAAATTTTCATCTGTTAGAAATACCCTTGCACCCTCTGTGAGTGTATCTGGTAGTCTTCCACACCTGTGAAGGGCATGGGAAAATAAAAAGCTGCTTTCTCTATTCTCACACCACTTGAACAACATGGCAAGGCTGCTTAGCTGCTGCATGTGATCACTTTAATCCGTTGCATGTTGCCATTCTTCCCAACAGGGAGTCGGCTTCATTCACCCAGGGGTCCCTCTTCTCCCACCGAGAAAGCAACACCAGATCCTCAAGTCCTAGATCCAAGTATGATGGCCAAGGAGACTCAGAACCAAGACGCTGCTTCACCTGCTGGCTCTGTGGCGGAAGAGGCCAGGAGCCCCAGCCCAGGTCAAGCAAGCCTCTGTAGCTTCGAAATCAACGAAATCTACTCGGGCTGCCTGGACAGGGGAGATGACAAAGAGAAGGAGCCTCCGGGAGCTGGTTCATCTTTTGAGGGGGCTGGACCAAGCCAGGCAGATGAACTGAAGTCCATGGAAGAAGAGCTGGACAAGATGGAGAGAGAGGCGTGCTGTTTTTGTGATGAGGACGAGAGCTCTTCAGAAGCTAGCACAGAGCTCTCCTTTGAGGACTGGGATTGGCAAAATGGTTCTCTTAGTTCACCCAGCTTGCCCGAGCCAGCCAGAGAAGCCAAGGGCAATGTGAGCAATAGGTGCATGACCGAGGAGTACATCAGTAAGTGTGTGCTGAATCTAAAGATTTCACAGACATTAATGCACCAGAATGCCGATTTGCTCAGGAATATCCAACAGAAAATCGATAAGCTTGAGATGATACAGAGGGAGCAGGAGGAGTGCAGGTCTTTGTGGGCTTCTTCAAGAGAGTTCGCAAACATCTATGACTCCCCTTCAGCCCTGGGCCCCCCAGCTTCCAGCTATGCACCTCCTGTCAGGCAGCTGCCGGGCCAGCAGCTGAACACCAGTGGCAATTGCCTAACCCTGACAAGGTCTTCCATAGTGAGAGACTTCGAAGGGGGACATTTTGGCAAAAGGTCCAGGAAAAGAAGTGGCTGTGGCTGGAAACCTGTCACCCAAGTCTCTGAAGAAAGCACTGGAGATGAGTCAGAGAAGAGCCATCAGGTACAGCTAAGAAGTGGGAGGCAGGGCTGCATGAGCAGGATCTGGAACATGGTTCAGCGTTGCCCCTAACCCCTGTGCAAGGACTCACATAAATACAACCAACTCATAGTGGGGTCCTCTTGGCTTTGGGAAATAAGGCCTCTAGGATGGGATTCTAAGGTAGATACTCTTCATCTCTCATTCCAAACCCAACACACAGCCCATGTTCTTCTTTATAAATCCTGTGCATCAGGCTGGACCATATGAAATGGCTGTTTTATAGGTCAAAATGCTCAGGTATTAATTTTACATGATTCACTTTACTAAATATGGTATCTTGGGCAGGTATTAATCCCCATTTTCAATTGTTTATTCATTTACTCATTCAATAAACATTTATAGAGCCAGAGGCTATACAATTAGGCCCTGGGACATGATGATGACTGAATCACAGGCTCTAATTATGAATAGCTCCAGTGTGGGTTCTGCTTATGAATAGTTCCTTTGGGACCAAGCCTGGTCATCAAAGAAGATACCTCAAAGGAGGTGAGAAGACACCATGGGAGCTGGTCTAGGAGGTGTAGCTGCAGAGTGGCTCCTGCATGAGCTCCTTAAGGGCAGGGCCTGGGTCTTACACATTCTGTGCCCTAACAAGGGTACCTGGCACATAGAAGGTACTTGATAGATGGTCATTGAGGGAATGAATAAATGAATGAATTTGAACAAATTCACATTTAGAGAGCTGGCTGTCTCTTGAGTCAGAATTTTAGAGATGGATCAGCCCCATCATTTTACAGAGTGTGAAGCTCAAGGTCAAAGACTTAAACTTTCTAAAGTCCAGGTGTTACCGAGATGACGTTGGGATAGGAGAGGTCAGCCCCATTGGAAGAAGGATTTTATTACTGAAGTTATTTAGAATTGCTGGCCTATGGTGATAAAAAGCTGGTCAGCTTTTAGTGGGTTTTATTATAGTTTTAAAATTCTCCACCTCTAGTGCATCCCTTTATTGCCTGCACAGGGCAGACAACTCTCACCACCCGCACCCCTTACTAAGCCACACTGCCAAGGCCCACAGCTGGTTAGGGGCAGGTTTCTTCACTCCTAGTCTGCTGTTCTTTCACTGTACCCTGCTGAGTTTCAGTGAGACTGCAGTCCTCACTTGAAACGTTTGGAAAAGCGTTGGCATTTTTGTATAAAGAGAAGGCAAAATGAATTTACTTAGACTCTAATATTTCTGTTTCAGATTTGCTAGAAAACTATTAGAAATAACTTTTCTTGTATTTTATGTTTTGGCTATCTATTGCTGTGTAGTAACAACAACAACAAAACCCCAAACTTAGTGAGAACAGTGATTTATTTTTCACAATTCTGTGGGTCAGGAATATGTTAGGGCTAATCAGGATGATTCTTTCACTACATGTGGCATGGGCTAGGATCACTCCCTTGACCGTATTCAGCTGGAGGCTGAGCTGGGCAAGAAGGTCCAAGGCCTCATTTATATGCCTGGTGCCCAGGGTCATTCCTTTAATTTCTCAGTTCCTAAATTTTTAATCATGCCAAATGAAAATATTACAAACTTCCCATTATTCTAAGTACCTATTTTGAATATATTTCTCAGTATATTCTAATCTTTCTTTGGTGACCATGATATTTTTCAGAACATGTGTTATTTATGCTCCATGATAAAGTTGTTGCCTTCAGCCCCTGCTAAGGAATCTTTGCCTCCATGCAAAGGCCTCTGGAGCTCATACTTCAGGGAGCTTATGACCATTCTTATGCATCCTCTCACCTTTGGGCATCTTGCTGCCATCCCAGTGCACCACATTTGTTGCCTTAACTTGCTGCAGGTTAGGAAATATAATGAACTAAGTTTGTTAAAATTAGAATAAGCAGATCAGAATTTTCTCTTTGGAATAAAATACACAGGCTTTAATTTAATTTGCTTCTATTTCCAAAGTGTTGTAGCTTTTATTTTATTGTGTCTTATTTTCATAGCATCCCCACTGGTGGATTCAGGTAGATACTATTTTCCCTGTTTTATAGATGAGGAAGCTGAAGCAAAATACTCTCTTAGGTTATTCTGAGTAAGGATTAGACTAGAGCCCAGGGCCCAAGGTTCTTGCCACAAAGCTTGCTGCCTTAATAATAATACAGGGGAAAGTTACTGGACTTTTTTAAAAAAGATTTTATTTATTTATTTGACAGAGCACAAGCAGGGGGAGTGGGAGAGGGAGATGCAGGCTCCCCGCTGAGCAGGGAGCCTGAAACAGGGCTCTATCCTAGGACTAGAGGATCATGACCTGAGCCACAGGCAGACGCTGAACAACTGAGCTACCCAGGCACCTGAAAGTTATTGGATTTTTGAAGTCTGCTTTGTCTGCTCATTCTTCACTTGATCCCAGTCTGGACTGGGTTTCTGGGGACCAGCATTTCTGTGTAAAGACCTCCAGCCAAGAGATGAGTTACTAGATATGAAATATGCAAAAGGAAATCGTCTTAGTAGGTCTGGTTATTTCTGCACATTTAGTAAGAATGGCTTGAAAAATAGAATGTGAGAGTGAAGAGGAATTCCTTCATCAAAGCACTGAAACATGTTTACTGCTTTTTAAGCTGCCAACTTTTTGTGGACCTGGAAAACAGAGCACAAGTGACCAGTCACAGCCCATTCAAGGAGCCAAATGTAGTTTGGAAAGAAACAGGACCCCAAATACCAGTAGGTGGGTTAATATTTTGTTCTTTGTGTCACCATGCCTTTAGACTCCCACGTGACCCCAAAGCCACTTAATGATCTTCACGTGTCTTGTGACAAAGAGACTGTGAGTGATAAAGAATACTAACACAGAAACAGATCTTGGCAGGTTTTCTCCTTCAGGTGAGCAGAAAGAGCCACGTAACAGAAACCTGTAGGAGAAGACATCAAAGGTAAAGTAGCTGGCAGGTTAATCACACAGAACATATCATTTGTCAAAAGCAAAGCACCTTGCCTTTCCAAAGCTGGCCAGATTGTTTTTCTTATAAAAAGAAATGCCAGGTATTCCATTTGTCAGTGCTCCAGAAACCAAACTATTTGGAAACTAGGGTTGTTCAAAATAAGCATCCCTGACTCCAGAGCAGGGGTTGAACAGTTTAACTGTTACCATGCAGCCTATGATTTCCATCCAGATGAATGAAATGAATTGGCTTCAGCACAGATCATAGGAAGGAGAGCATATGTGTACACTGACTTTTTAAGAATTTAGGTAAAACAGATTTTATTTTGCATAGGGGCAATTATTAAAGGTGTTTCAAGATAGACTAGTCTATCAATTTCAGCTTTCCTTTTTTGTGTTTAAATGGTAGCTTTTAATCCATGGCTTTGGAGTCAGTTCTCCTGGAAAAAAGTAACTTTTTGTTTTTCTCCTAGTGGTGACTGAGACTAATGACAAGAGTTTGCTGTTCCTTTCACGTTAGTAAACGTGTTCACTAGGGAGAATCAAAGAAGATGCCCAGACATTTTAGTTCAGTGTATTTTACCTTTACAAAGGGAATTATTGGAGAACCAACTAACTGGCATCAAAGGGGTTAGAACTCACATCATTGAGAGAGGCAAATGGGGTGATAGTATGGCCATTAGATGACAAAACAAAGCCATAGTTGTGGCCTCCGCTACACCCATTCACCCTGTTCCCCCAAAAGAACAAAAGACAGACCAAAGAAAAGTTTGACATTTTGCTACCAATCCACCTAATCTTTTTGTATGCTTTTAAAAGATATAATTATATGCATATAGCTACATTTATTTATTTAGAAGTAGGCTCCACACCCATTGTGGAGCCCAACGCAGGGCTTGAGCCCACAACCCTGAAATCAAGACCTGAGCTGAGATCGAGAGTCAGACGCTTAACCAACTGAGTCACCTAGGCGCCCCCATATAGGTACTTTTATATCCTGATTATTCATTTTACATTAAAACAAGAGCATTATATCCCACATTATTAAAAAACATCCAGTGGCGCCTGACTGGCTCAGTCGGAAGAGTATGCCACTCTTGATCTCAGGGTTGTGAGTTTGAGCCCCATGTTGGGTGTAAAGATTACTTAAATAAATAAAGATTTAAAAAAAGAAAACATCCTGTAAATTTGAACTTGTTGGATGTCCCCCATTGTTGAATTTTATGTTGTTTCATGCTTTTATCCATTTTGAATAGGGCTGCAGTGACTTGGCAGTGCAGCTTTTTCTGCTCTTTGGATTATGTCCTTGATGGATTGCCGGAAGCAGAGTTAGTAGGTCAAAGGGTTTAAACATTTTAAAGATACTTGATAGCTGCTGCCAAATTGCTCTTTAAAGAAGCCAGTCAGATCTGACCTTTCCAGGTCAGCAGTCTCTCTGTGTTCTGGTCCAGTGGGGAAGTAGGGTGTTCAAGATAAGGAGGAATTCGTACATACGCCACAGGTCACATGTTTTTGAGGAGTTACTTTAATAGACGATGAGATGTATATATGATCATGGATATGTGGAGGAAGAAGGACTCCCTTGTTTTTCAGATGAGGGAACTTGGTCCAGAGAGATTGAAGTATGCCAGAGGCAGGCAGCCGGTTAGTGGGAGGTAGGGTTAGAACTTAGACTAGGCTGAAGAACTCTGAATGTTCTTTAGGCTTGCTGGTGCCTTAAGGCCATGTTTGCAAATATTAGTTATTGTGCTCTCACTGATACGCAGGTGCGCCTTTTACCGGAGAATTCTGTTCAAAGGGTAGGAACAGTTACTGAACCATCACCTGTGTTCTGTGGCATTGTTAGGGTGGGGTCTCTGCTAAGGCTCAGAAGTCTGGTGAAACTGGGTTTCAATTGTGGGTTTCTTCTTCCTGTGAAAATTTTTCAAGAGTACTTTTAGAATCATGAAATCTGAACTTGGAAACTGAAAAAAATACCTTAGAGGTCTTCTAACCCAGTCTTTTCATTTCTTAGCCAGGGAAGGCCTAAAGAGTCCAGTGCCCGAACCAAGCTGACTCAGCTTACTAGTGCACTTGTTACTGTGTCAAGCCACCCCAAGGGACCTCCTGTGTCATCTGGCCCTGGCCAGGGCTCTACTAGGTAGGCTCGAGTGGTCTGAACGTTGGGGAGTCTGGCGCCCTCTGGTGGTAAGCAGGAGTCAGTGCAGTCCCAGGAATGGCTCTGAGTAGGGGTTGGTCCTCTGGATGGGCTGGAGGGCTCTGGCTTGCGTCAGGAACTTGAGCAAACTGGTGTATTTGTGTCCACCCTGCTCCCCTTCCCCCAAACCTATACAATTTAGGATCAGTATGGAGTCCGTCTCTTCTGAAATCTGTAACGCAAAGTCAAGAAATAATGAAGATGATGGAGAGGTATACTTGAAATGGAAAAGTGAGTAAAGAGTCATAGGTTCTGTTGGGCCAGATGAAATTTAAAGTATATTTCTAACCTGGTTGTTATCTCTAAGTACACAGCCTGTATTGCACCAGACTCCCACATTCTTTTCTTCTGTTGGCTCATTCCAGTTTAAAAGCAAGACCTTTCTGATTACAAATTGCAGAAAGGAAATGCTTTTCTCTTTCTTCTTCTTCTTCTTCTTCTTCTTCTTCTTCTTTTTTTGTTTACCTCTTAGTCAGGACAGATAAGCTTTTATTAAGATGGGTCTTTTAACATTGTTTAAATGAACACGTTTTGTGTTACTAGTCCAAAGAAAAGAGACTGTCAAGCTTGCCACTGTGTATACCGTACTGTTCAGTGATTTATTTTTCTGGGAAAAACTTTATTCATTTCTAGACTTTATAAGAAATATTTCCATTATATATATATATATATATGCATATTTATAACAAGTGTAGCAAAACAATACACAGTAGAAATTTAATGTGTAACATTCATTATGAAAGTAGAGAGCATGCAGTGTCACTTTTGCATATCCTGTGGGCATTTCCTTTTGTATCAGTTTTATAAGCTTAAAAGGATACAGTGTGTTTTTTAATACTTATGTTAAATGACATTAGCAAAAGTATAGAACATTTGGAATGAAGACATGCCCATGCAGATACACATATAAAAATACGCATACACACACACACACACACACACACACCCATATGAGCTCTGCCTAGTCTAGAGAGGCTAGACAAACTCAGATAGAATCCTTTCCATTAGTCTCTACAGACTGGGGGCTGCAGATGTTATTTTCTTATAAAATCTTCACAGCAAGAAGTTTGCTGCTATAAACTACAAGTTCTCTGCTACCTTCCATTCCAAAATTCAGAAATGAACTGAAATCCTGTCCTCCCCTCTGTTATCTGTTCTCTTCTCACTTCCCCTTCAAGCCAAACAGGGCAAGCTAAGGATGACGCAGTTCTAAAAAGGCAACTATTATGACAATATGAGCTCTAAAATATTATATAGCTCTTTAAGAAGCAAAAGCTTTTGTTTCTAATGTTCAGAGTTCTGTTGTAAATGCTGCTTTCCCTTCTGTCCAGTGGAGGTGAAAGATATGGCAGAGAGAGCAGCTACTGGGCAGCTGGTGGTACCACCTTGGCATCCTCAAAGTAGTGTGACTTCAGAGGGTGAGGCGAAGAATGTGCCTGATACCCTGCTGCAGCCCCTGCTGAGGGACCCTGAGAAAGTGGGCTGGCAGTGCATTGTAGAGTATCCCAGGAAAAATGATGAGCCAGGAGGAAATGGCAAGTGTGACAAAATGGACAACAGTGACTGTGACAGTGACCAGCATGGCAGACAGCCTGGGCCTCAAAGCTGCACCAGTAAGTTCAGTTGGAGAAATTGGGATAGGTGAGCTCTATCAAGTTATTAGCTCTCAAAAATAAGTAAGCCTCCTGGCATATTTCCTTTGCTTGGTCATCTCTCCTTTCCCTTCCCTCTGGGAACCCTGAGTTGCAGGGAAAAGCAGCATACCCTTTTGATTCCACTGTCCTTCCTGAAGGTAAAGAAATCCAAAGATTCGTGAGTTTTTCTGTTACTGGAGCAGACCCATTTGCTCAAAGGAAGTAAAATAATCTCTATACAGTGACCCTGTTCCTGACTCTAACCTGGCGGGGAAATGAACCTTTCTTACCTGAGTGCAGTGGTAGATGGCCATTCCCTACTGCCCATTTCCTTGCATTGCATTTTAAGCCAGAAAAACTCCACTGGCTCCCAGAGATTCTGTGCCAGAAGAACCTGGAGACAAATGGCATTGACTGTCATCACTTTATAGATTTTTAGGTTAAAACTGAAGGCCATGTAGTTCCACTTGGTAATTTGCTTGCAAGCAGGGCATGGAATATTATTTCACAGTTGTTTACAAATCAAAGAAAGATGCATCTAAAATTATCACTTATCTTAGGTAGAAAATCTACTGGCTTGGGCTCTTTTAGTTTTTAGAAACTGTTCCTTTTCAAGCATTGATCTTGAATGGGTGGGCAAAAGGATGATGATACAGGACCGGGTGTTGGGGCCAGGCCAAACTAACAGTCTCCATTCTCTGGACTGAACCCCACTAATGGGACATGGCCACCCTCGGCAGAGTAGTCACGCATCTCTCCTCTCACTCCACTCTTCTCCCCTTCCATGCCATCTAAATACCACTGAATGACTATGGCCCTGGTTGTGTTAAAATCATTAGGTATCAGGCACCTGTCTCCCAGAAAAAATGAGCAGCCAGAACATAGTGAAGTCTTTCAAGCAAGTTCTGATGCATCTGTGGTCGTTGAGAAATCTTATAGCGTAAGTAATATGACCCTGCAGAGCCAGGTGGAACCCAAGGATCTAGTAAAGTAGAACTGAGTTGTTATGTATTATGCCAGTGAATTAATATCTGTAGTAGTTCATTTTTGTTGGAGTATGTGCTCTCAAGTCTCTGACATGAATGAAGAAGCCTTTCTTCCCTGCCTAAATACTTTTTGAGTCCGTTCAACTCAAAGCACTGTGTATCTTGGAGCTTGTGCAGAACACAGACAAGTGTCAGATTCAGGAAACCCTTAAGCTTCTTGTCTAGTTGGATAGATAAGACCAACTCTGGAAGCTCAATGTGAGGTCAGTTATCAAAGCTCGTGGCCCAGCAGCTGACTGATTAGAGTAGGAAGAGCAAGGCCAGGGTTGTGATGAGAGTGCCTTCATCTAGAATGTCCTCTAAGACCCAAATTCACCTCTCAGCAGAAGGCACGTGTTCACATCTGACAACTGCACCTCAGCAGGATCAATGCATTTAGGCTACAGCCCTGCTTCAGGGGTTTAACACATCCTTGAAGCATGCAGTTGGGCCACAGTCCAGTCAGGCTAAGGAACCAGAATTTTTTTTTTTTTAAAGATTTTATTTATTTATTTATTTATTTATTTATTTATTTATTTATTTATTAGAGAGTGAGCGAGAGAGAAACAGCATGAGAGGGGAGAGGGTCAGAGGGAGAAGCAGACTCCCCGCTGAGCTGGGAGCCCGATGTGGGACTCGATCCCAGGACCCTGGGATCATGACCTGAGCTGAAGGCAGTCACTTAACCAACTGAGCCACCCAGGCGCCCAGGAACCAGAATTTTTTATCATTATGATATGAGGACACAATCACTTAAAGAATATAAACAGGAACTGAAAATGAAATAATATAAAAATAAAATTGTGATAACATTTAAGGTCTTTCAACGAACATGCTGTTGTATTTAATCATAGCACAGAAACCACTCACAAGGACAATTTAAGACAATTTATTCTTTTTCTTACATGGGGGCTGGAAGGATAGGCCCTGTTAAGCATACTGGCTTGGCTGGAGAAGCAGGTCTGTCAGGGAAGTGGGGAGGGTATGTGAGGCCAGGCTTATCTAAGAAGTTTCAATCTGATATGAGAGGTAAAGGGGAGCAGCTGCTACGCGTGCGGGAAGAGAAGTGTGTGGCGGAAGCGGCATCCAAGGAAATAAATCACAAAACCTCTGCCAAGACATGACTGAAGGTGTGGAGAGGAGTTAGTTGCCTGCCATGTGGGGACCAGGGCCTGAACATGGAGAAATGAGCAGAAAAGGAAGGGGGGAAACAGAGATGCTAAAGAAATCACTGGTACTTTGGAATTTTCAAGTTTTATTTTTATTATTGAGATTGCATTGCTATTTTTTTCAAAAGATTTATTTATTTGAGAGAGAGCATGTGCACAAGCTGGCGTGAGCAGGGGCAGAGGGAGAGGGAGAGAATCCTCAAGCAGACTACCCCCTGAGATCGAGACCTGAGCCAAAATCTAGAGTCAGATGCTTATCTGGCTGAGTCACCAGGTGCCCCTGCATTGCCATTTTTAACGTCATGTTCCTTCACTTGCTTTTAAACTGTAGAACCCACGGGACTCCTCAGTCTGGAGGACGAAGCATCTGTGGCTGTTCAAGCTCAGTCCCAGCTTGAGTTGTCTAGGGCCTTTCTTCTTAGAATTTCAGAGCAGAAAAGTCGCCCAACTCCCTCCCCCTCCATTGTACGGATGAGGATGTGAGTCTCAGGACTGTCATTTGCCTCAGGGGGTATCACTTGCTGCAGGGGGTGCATAGCTCACTGTGGGGAAGGAGGGCAGAGGCAGGTGTGCAAGCAGGCAGGGAGGGCTGGCTCAGGGAGTGTCACCCTGACTGCTGGGTAATGTTAGATAACCCCATTATTAACACTGCATCCAAATATAAAGGGATTTGTTTATAATGAACACCAACCTAAAAATGATTTCCTACATTATTAATAGGATCAGTCTGTGCGATCAACTTGTTCACCAGAATCTTCTGAGGACATAACAGATGAATTTTTAACTCCAGACCATGAATATTTTTATTCCTCAACTGCTCAAGAAAACTTAGCTCTAGAGGTAAAAACCACTGTTTAGGGTAAAGTACTTTTCAGCTTTCTCTATTGCCTTCATTCTTTTAAATTATTTTTATTGAGAAAAAATAGCTTACATATAAAAATGTATAATGTTGACTTAGCAGTGTTTTCATGTTTTGAAAAGACTTCTGAAAAAAAGATATTTGAGAATGGAAGGTCATATGCAGTTTCTCCCAAAACTGTGATTCCTGCATTTGTACAGTACTTAGTACTTTTTTTCAAAACACTTTTCTTCATGTTACCTAATTCACATACTCTTCCTGTGGAGAAGAGAAGAAGGCCTGCTGTTTTTCCTCTGTGTGAAGAAGTGGTGATCCACACATGTAGGGAATTAGCCCTGGCCTGCCAAGCTTCAGTAGTGAGAGAGCCAGGATCAGAGGCCCGGGCTCAGCATGAATGTGATGCTGGGCAGTGCATGGGGCTTTCTCGGGAACCTGCCCGGCTTTGGCAAGCATCTATTTGTACAGAGTATTTTCATTTGTAAAATGAAGCTGTTTGGATTTTCTTATTTATTTATATAATTTCTGCCTCGTCTTCCTACTAACCTACCACCTTTTTTGGACCTTTTACCAATATGGAAGGTGGGGTGGAGGAAAAGGAGGAATTGATTGTATGTCTCAAACACGACCTTTGACTGATAAGAATTCAGTGATGCAACAAAAGCATCATTTCCACTGTTCTGCACTTCTGATAACTCAGAGCAGTTTTTCATTATTAATCCTTCACCTGTTCTTGACTTTACTGTGAGCAGACTGTGATGTTAACAAAATCTTTAATAAAAAGATACAAAATATATATATACACACGTACATATGTATACATACATACATATATGTGTGTGTGTGTGTGTGTGTATACATACATAAAGTGTAACATAGAGAAAAGTACACAGCTCTTATGTGTGCAGCTCATGGACTTGCACAAACTAAACACATTCATATAACCAGTACTCAGATCAGGAAGTAGTCCTCCAGAAGACCGCCCCCAGGCCTCCTCCCAGTCACTGCACCCTCTCAAAGGAACCAGTATTCTGGGCCATTTTTCCAACCTTCTTTGACTTTTCTTTTTTTTCTTTTTCCCTTATGTTATTTATTTATTTATTTAAAGATCTTATTCATTTGAGAGAGAGAGAGAGCGCACACACAAGTTGAGGGGAGGAGCAGAGGGAGAGGGAGAAGCAGACTCCCGGCTGAGCAGGGAGCCTGATTGCGGGGCTCGATCTCAGGACCCTGGGATCATGACCTAAGCCGAAGGCAGATACTGACTGAGCCACCCAGGCACCCCCCAACCTTCTTTGGCTTTTCTGGTGAAGGTCCTAAGAATCAAAACATCTTTGTTGGAAGGCTGGGGAGAGGAGGGGATAATAACATAAAGAAGGGAAAAGTCACACAATTCCTCCTCACAGCGGGAGGCAGGGGAGGGCTTGTTGAGGAGGGACATAAAGTACAAATGATCCTTAATGTCTTCGAAACAGGTTTGTTCTTTTTCTATTAAAGATAGAAAGATTTTCAAGGTTTAAGAACATCAAGAAATTCTCCCTCTACCTTTGGATTATATGTTGGCCTCCAGTGACCCTTCTTCCTTTGCTCTTTTATTCTTTTGTAGACCTCAAGCCCCATAGAAGAGGACTTTGAAGGAATACAAGATGCATTTGCCCAACCTCCAGGCTCTGGTAATAAGCTCTTAAGGCAGATTCCTTTTCACTTGCCTTCACTTTCTGTTGGATGACAGATCTTTAGAGCTGGAACAGTCCTTAGAGATAATCTCCTTCAGGCCTTTGATTTTGCAGATGAGGGAACCTAGGCTCAAGGATTTCCCTTCATTAGAATGAATCTCCTGCCCCTTACCAGCCTCCTGACAGCCACATATCATATTATCTGTCCTCCCCTTGCATTCTTAGAGTATATGTTTTGTGGTTGCTCTGCTGCTCCCCCTCTTCCCCCACTTTCCCCCTCCTCCTCCTCCTTCTCTCCTTTCTTCTTCTTTTTTCCCCCTCTAGTCTTTCATTAGATTTCTGACCCCTTCGTGACACATTGCTGGTTTTTGTTCATCTTGTTCATCTTCACTGAGCTGACTTGAGGGATTTGCCCAGGCCATACAACTGGTTTTTGACACAACAAAAACTAGAACTTGCTCTTCATGTCCTTCTCCACCCCAAAAGGCATTTTCCTTTGCTTGCTTAGCTTCTTGGCAAAGAGTTAATAACAGCCAATAGTACACAGTCAACATAACATTCTTGCCTTGGGAGGCCTTGGGTTCTATATAACTCAGCAACTGCTTTCCGTTAACATGGGAGGCTAACCTTGGATCAGCAGCCCAGGTGTGGCACAAGGTAAGATATAAGTGAACCACTGGTTCTGATACAGACATTGTAAAAATTGTGCACTTTTACTCTTTTAAGGTATACAACCATCTATTTTAAAGCCAGAGTTACCCACCTACTGAGCCATGTAGCTGTTTGTGGTCATGTCTCAACATTCTGAACCCAGGCATGGTGGGCTTGGGTTCTGAACTTACTCCCTTCCTCCTGCTGCACACTCTGTCTTCTGTCTCTAACCTGATTCATGCCCCTGTCACAGCCAAGAGCATTTTTTTTTTTTTTTAAGATTTTATTTATTTATTTGACAGAGAGAGACACAGCGAGAGAGGGAACACAAGCAGGGGGAGTGGGAGAGGGAGAAGCAGGCCTTCTGCGGAGCAGGGAGCCTGATGCAGGGCTCGATCCCAGGACCCTGGGATCATGACCCGAGCCGAAGGCAGACGCTTAACTGACTGAGCCACCCAGGCGCCCAGCCAAGAGCATTTTAAGAAGCAATGAGCTTTTAGATGAACATTTAAATCCTCAGGACAACATGTATTAAAAGTCCCCAGACCTGGGTCTTGGGTCATCCATTTCTTTCTGTGGAGCCTCTGCCCACGATCATGTTCTGTGTGAGCCTGGCCTGCACATAGACATTTCACTTCTGTTTCGAAGAGGATTGAGTGGGATAGAGAAATTGTGGGGCAGGTAGGTTAGAAACCCAGGGCTAGTTTGATACAAACATCTGAAGTACACGAAGAAACCTCTGATTTCCACTCATTTCCTGCTTTCGGCCTTTCTCTCCCCCCTTTTCCACTAGGGTTCTGACGTATACCCCTTCCATATCAGGTGGTATCACAGGTAACAATTGGACACATGTTGGGTTCCGAGCCCAGTTCTGCCACTGATTTTTTTTTCCCCCATGCATGACCTTGGGAAAGTCATTTCACCCCAGGCCCCACTCTCCCTTTGTATAAAATAAAGGAGAGAGACTCTAAAATCTCTTAAGTGTTCCTCCAGTTCTAATTGTACTTATTAGGAATTCCTTTATGCTTTCTAGGTGTTTATGCTTTCTAGGTATTTGAAAGAGGGTCACGGGAAGAAGAACCCCAATGCTTCTCTACTGATGGGGTTTCAGACCTCCTTGGTACCTGCTAAAGGTGACACTGCGTTGGTGGGCCTCCCCATTGCCCACTAGACCACGTGTTCCTAAGGAATGGCAAGGGTATCATGAACATTTGCCAAGAGGGCAGGCTGCTCTGTCTGTCTCCTTCTCTATAAACCAGAGCAGTATAGTGGTGGGAAGGAAAATAGATAGATAGTGGCCCTGTCTGCCCTGAGGTCTGCAAAGTATCTTATTGAGAACTTGTGGGGGAGTAACTTCAGACACTTGATGTCAGGGAGAACAGAAGATAGTTGAATTGGTTGTGAACCTCCCCACCCCCACCCCATCCCCCCGGCTTTAAATGGAGCCTGATGGCCAAGAGGCACAGTTAGCACTCTGGGAATGCCCAGCTTAATTGTCTTTTCTATTTGGAATCTTTAGTGAACAAACAGTTCTTGGTTTCAACGCCCCCTGGTGTCTGTTGACAGGAACCAGGTCAGTTTGCCTTCCTGAAAAGACAAAATAACATTTGTCTCCAGAAATAACTGAGTGGTTATAACTGAAAGGCCAGTAAATGGCTTGATTGTATTCTGAGTGTCAGAATGTAGTTACCCCCTCTGAGCAAGGAAAATAAACTTTCAGAGCAAAAACCTCTCCTACAACACTCAATCCAAACCCAATTAGGAAGCACTTTGTTTATTCAGATTATTTCTTATTCTGGACCAGACCAAGGGAAATTCTAAGGAATGAAAATAATAATCTGAATTGGCAAAAATTCAGTAAAAAATGCATTTACTTTATTCTTTCAGGTGAAGAAAAGTTCCAAATGAGAAAAAGCCTTGGAAGGAATGCTGAGATTTTGACCAGATCTCAATTCCAACCTATACGAAGGTATGTACTAGTATTTTATTCACAGTTTCAGACTCACAGAAGTAATGTTAAAAGATGATAATACCCCATATTTATGTATTGCTTGTCCTCAAATGTTTTAGCCACCATGTCATAAAAATGAGTGTTGGGCACTTAGCTTTCTTAGGACTTGTTCAGTAGGATTGTGAGGGATTGTGAAGAGGGATCATTATCACTATTCAGATCGTGACTCTGCCTTTCCATCCCTGTGACTTTGGTCAAGTTTCTCAACCCTCTCTTCTATTTCTGCATTTGTAAAGTAGGAATAAGAATCCTTACGAAGAATGTTGACATAGAGATTAAAAGTAATAATATAACTCTTGGCATTAATTACAAAGAAATGAAGACTTAATGTTCATATAAAAACATATATGTAGGGGCGCCTAGGTGGTACAGTCGGTTGAGCATCCGATTCTTGGTTTCCCCTCGGGTCTTGATCTCTCAGGGTCGTGAGCGTGGAGTCTGCTTGAGATTCTCCCTCTCCCTCTTCCTTTGCCCCTCCTGCTCGTGCTCGTGCTTTCACTCTCTCTCAAACAAATAAATAAATCTTAAAAAAAGAAATACATAGATGAATGTTTATAGCAACTTTATTTATTTATTTAGTTATTTTTGCGACTTTATTTGTAATAACCAAAAACCGGAAACCTAAATGTTGTCCAACAAGTAAATGATTTTTTAACAGACCGGTACATCCATTCTATGGAATATTCCTCAGCAATAAAAAAGAGTGAACTTTTTTTTTTTTTTTAAAGATTTTTTATTTACTTATTTGACAGAGAGAGACATAGCGAGAGAGGGAACACAAGCAGGGGGAGTGGGAGAGTGAGAAGCTGGCCTCCCGCCGAGCAGGGAGCCTGATGTGGGGCTTGATCCCAGGACCCTGGGATCATGACCTGAGCCAAAGGCAGTCGCTTAACGACTGAGCCACCCAGGCGCCCCAAATGAACTATTGATACGTGCAACAACCTGGATATATCTCCAGAGAATTGTGCTGGATGGAAAGAGCAATCCCCCAAAGTTATTTACTATATGATTCCACTTATATAACATTCTTTTTTTTTTTTAAAGATTTTATTTATTTATTTGACAGAGACAGACAGCGAGAGCAGGAACACAAGCAGGGGGAGTGGGAGAGGGAGAAGCAGGCTTCCCGCTGAGCCGGGAGCCCGATGTGGGACTCGATCCCAGGACCCTGGGATCATGACCTGAGCCGAAGGCAGTTGCTTAACCAACTGAGCCACCCAGGCGCCCCTTATATAACATTCTTGAAATTATAAAATTATTTGAGTAGTGTCCAGGGGATAAGGTAGAGGTAGGCAGTAGGAGGGAAGTAGACATGCCTATAAAAGGACAGCATGAGGGGCCCCTGGGTGGCTCAGTCAGTTAAGCTTCTGCCTTGGGCTTGGGTCATGATCCCAGGGTCCTTGGGATCAAGCCCCGCATAGGGCTCCTTGCTCAGTGGGGAGTCTGCTTCTCCCTCTGCCCCTCCCTCTGCTTATGCTTTCTCTCTCTCTCTCTCTCTCTCTAATAAATAAAATCTTTAAAAAAATAGAAGGGCAGCATGAGGGATCCCTGTGGTGGTGGAAATGTTCTGTATCTTGACTGTATCAATGTTGGTGTCTTGATTGTGATATTGTGCTATAGATTTGCAAGATGTTATCATTCAGGGAAACATGGGTAAAGTGTTTCTTTAAACTTCATGTAAATATGCAGTGACTTCAAATTAAAAAGTCCAATTAAAAAAACTAATAATAGATGTAAAGTGCCTGATACAATAACATTCAATTACTTTCCCTATCTCTAGGCCTCAACTTTTTTTTTTTTTAAGATTTTATTTATTTATTAGAGAGGCACAGCGAGAGAGGGAACACAGGCAGGGGGAGTGGGAGAGGGAGAAGCAGGCTTCCCGCCGAGCAGGGAGCCCGTTGTGGGGCTCGATCCCAGGACCCTGGGACCATGACCTGAGCCGAAGGCAGATGCTTAACGACTGAGCCACCCAGGCACCCCAAGGCCTCAACTTTTTTATCTATAATAATTATACCTAGTATTTCCTAAGCAGCTACCATATACCAGGTACTCGGTTTTCTCAAATATAATTTATGTAACAGCCTTTTGAGATATATACTGTTATCTCCATTTTGCGAATAAGGAAAGCGAAATTCATTTTTTTCAAGGCTGCAGTTAGTAAGTGGATGTATCAGTCAGCATAGGCTAGATTATGCTTATATAACAAACAACCCCCAGATTTTAGTGGCTTAAAACAGCAAAAATTTATTTTTTGCTCACTCCATGTCCGTCTTGGATTGGCTAGGAGTGTTCTGTGCTATATTACCTTCTACCCAAGAGCCAGGCTGAGGAAGACTCCATCCTTGTATTTCCTTGATTGCTGAGGCAAGAAGAAGGGAACATGAATTGTGCACTGTCCTTAATGTTTCTGCCCAAAAGTGATTCACATCACTTTCACTTATATTTCACTGGTTAAAACAATCATGTGGCCATTTACATAAATTAGGAGGGCCAAGAAGTGCTGTCCTACTGTATGCTTGGAAGTGAAACAAATACTCTAGTGAACAGAATTAATAAAGTCACAACTCAGTCCAAAATCCGTGCTTTTTCCTTTGTACCATTGATTTCATAGGATTGTTGCAAAGATTAAAAATATGAAAACAGGGGTGCCTGGGTGGCTCAGTCGTTGAGTGCCTTCAGCTCGGGTTGTGGTCCCAGGGTCCTGGGATCGAGCCCCACATCGGGCTCCCTGCTCCGTGGGAGGCCTTCTTCTCCCTCTCTCACTCCCCCTGCTTGTGTTCCCTCTCTTGCTATGTCTATCTCTGTCAAGTAAGTAAATAAAATCTTTAAAAAAATATATGAAAACATATGGAAGAATTTAGTTTGGGATCTGGCTTGTAGTTTGTATTCAACAGATATTGAAATGGAATTCTAGATAGTGGTTAACATAGAAACAGGTCAAGTTTGTGTTCATATTCTTTTCTGGTCATTTTTTGGCATAAGTCTCTCTTGGCCTCACCTGATGACCCGTGCAGGAAGCTGTCTCACAGTTGGTAATGTTGGTAATGTCCCACGGCTGTGCCCTTTGCCCCAGCCTCCATTCCCAGCAGATTTCCTGTGCTCTCTTGATTTCCTGAGGAACTTGCTCACTGTCATATAGCATCATTGGCTGATTTCAGATGGGCTGATGCCTAGAGGGTATTTATTCAATCTCTGGAGAGGAAACAGAGGCCCAGAGAAAGGCCCAGACGTGCCTGAGAACATATAGCTAGTCAGTAGCAGACCCAGGACCAGAACCCACTTTCCATTTCTGAGCTTAGTGCCCTTCCTACTGCTTTTCACAGGGCTGATAAACTGGTCCCTTGTACCAGGTTAGTGCACTGTGCTGACAGGGGATTCATATACTTTTCTCACTTTCTCTCTTACAGTACTGAAGGTGAACAAGAGGAGACATTAAAGGAATCACCAGAGGAGCTGAAGGAGAAAGACATGTAGGGCCACCAAAGGGTTGCCTAAGGATGCTGTGTAAAGTCTTGGTTTTAGGGGAATAGTATTTCCTTATTTGTAAGAGAATACTTTCTTCCCAGTTTTATGTATACGTTTAATGTGAGCGTGTTTCTTTTTTCACCAAAAACCTGTTATGATGATGTGATCTAAATTAATAGCATCTTATAATCAAGGAAATACAGTGATGATGATGATGATATTAATAAATTTACATTTGAGGTAGATGAAATCTGTTTTCCATATAAATATACTTTTGTCTGTGGAAATAGTTTATTTTTAGCTGCTGAGATATGTTTAAAGTTAGTATCTCTTTTTAGGATATTCTCTAATATTCTCTTTCAGATACATATGATAGTCTAAGATAGTCTAATTCTGGTCTACTGCCAAATAAAGATTGTTGTCAAGAGCATCCTTAAAAAGTACCCCTTGGGAATATATTGTTTGATTTTTCTAAACATCTCCTAATTACTTTGTGCTTTTAATTTCTTAGATCACTGACAGACATTCAAGACCTTTCTAGTATCTCCTACGAACAAGATGGTTCTTTTAAAGAAGTCTCATGCAAAACCCCCAAAATAAACCACGCACCTACAAGTGTCAGCACTCCGCTCAGCCCAGGTAATCACTGCAGGGAGAAGTGTTTGAGGAGAACAGTTGCTGCCCCACTGGCTTTGGGAAGCCAGCCATGAGAACAGACCGGCAGGTGTTTCCTCATAGTGCAGAGGTGTCTGTCTAGCGCCAGAGCTGATGGGGATAACCCCATGAGGGGCCAGGTAGGGGTTGTTGGTGGTGGTTATTAAGCAGCTATAGGGAGTTTTTTGACTTTGGTGGTAGAGACACGTAAATGCAAACTGTACTTTTTACTCTAACACTACTGAATTTAGTGCAAATACATTGGCTTCTCTGGAGTTTGTAACTCAAAACCTATTGCTTAAACATACATAATTTTGAGTCCTCCAACCTCAACAGCCAGCATCAAATAGCCTCCCTCTGGTGTCCTTAGTTCCATTATATTTGTGGTTCCAATAATCTCCGTTATTTTGATGGCCAAGTTTAGAGACTGTCTTTTTTTTTTTTTTTTAATACTTTGAGGAGCTATGTGTCATAATCAGTGATTATTTTAGTTATTAACAATTTGGAGAATCCCTGGTATAGATAGAGAGTTCTGTGTTTTTGTTTTTAAATAATGTAAAGGATTTGGACACTAATTGCCCTCTTTTCTACAACAGGGTCGAGTTCTTCAGCTGCCAGTCGGTATAAAGACTGCCTTGAAAGTATCACATTTCAGATTAAAACAGGGTCTACCTCATACTGGAACAGTCAGGAATCTATTCAAACTTCATCTGATAGATTTTCAACCGTTCGAGAGAAAGCAAAGAGCCTAGATTCCTTTCTTACTTCCCCTGAAACTGTTCCTTCAAGATTGACTGATCTTGTAAGTATACCGACTCTGCTTTCCATACTCATGGAATCAGCCCAAAGGCCTTAGGGATCCAAAGTACTAAGATTTCTCCAAATCCATTTTACAAAGAAAGCAAGAAATAAGCTGGATCTTCTCTAGGCCTTCTTGGGGTGTCTCTCTGAGTCTGTATTATAGGATAGATCTTGGGTTTTTGTGCCTCCCCCCACCAGAGATAATGTCTAGCAATTTCTTTAAAGAGCCAAACTGCAACAGCTTATAATGCTACTACCTTCACCTGCAGTGTACTTTCTGTCTACACATATCCTGCTCACTTGAGGAGGCTTGAGTTCTCCTTCCTCTTTGTTGCCTCCTCTGCTTGGTTTCCCGAGAGTTTTGATTGATCCCCACCTTCTCTGAACTCCTGAACTAATAGTCTGTAATAAAACACATATTTGTGTACTACCTTCTCCACTCCTCCTTCTTCTGCCCCTGCTGTCCTTTTTTTTCTCTTCTCTCTCCCTCATATTTCATATGTATAGTATCTTCAAGAAAACTACAAATTCCTTACTTGGCACTGCTCATTAAAAATCTGTTGACCATCCTATAGGCAGATTGATAACTTGCTTTGGCCTTCAATTAAAAATCAGCTGCCATTTTCTTTGGGCATTTGACTCACAAAAGGTCCACTCTGAAGTAGGGAGATAAAGAACTTTATGCTTCATTCAACCGTCTGTTAATTGGGTGTGTTCTAAGTGCCAGGTAGCCTGCCAGGCCCTCTTCTAGGCATCCAAATATAAATAAGATAGACCTAGTCCCTGCCCCGGAGGAGTTCCCCATCTAGTGAGAAAGGCTGGTGGGATCCAACACAGAGGTAGGTACTGGGCACTGCGGAGGCAAAGAGGAGTGAGAAGGGTTTGCAGAGGAGGAATGAGTTTGACTCAATCAACAAAACAAGTGGCTTCTTCCATCAGTGAAACACAGGCTTACTCTTGGAAATGGTTGAACTGCATTAGGGGTCTTTTGAGCTCAATCAGTTACCATGTTTATGTCTTACTTATAGAAAAGATTGTCTGCATTTACTGGGGTCGGTTCCTCCAGCATTGCTAAGTCACCTGACACATCATCGTCCCATGCCACCCAGAGAAGGAGCCTGCCAAAAGGTATCCTGTGTTTTTAATATCAAAATAGAACCAAAATACAAAACAATAGTAAGCCAGTTTAAGGGAGCCTTCTTCTCATCTTTGATGCTACATTAGATTCCAACAGAAATGCTATTTTCGGGCACCTGGGTGGCTCAGTCGTTAAGCGTCTGCCTTCAGCTCAGGTCATGATCCCAGGGTCCTGGGATCAAGCCCCGCATCGGGCTCCCTGCTCTGCGGGAAGCCTGCTTCTCCCTCTCCCACTCCCCCTGCTTGTGTTCCCTCTCTTGCTGTGTCTCTCTCTGTCAAATAAATAAATAAAATCTTAAAAAAAAACCAAAAGAAATGCTATTTTCCCTCTGATTATAAAAGTAAAGTATACTTATTAAACTTAGAGAATTAAAAAGAGCTTTTAAAAAACACTACCACTTAATTCTACCACCATTTTTTAACTTCTTGTACTATTTTGGCATGTATCTTTTTTTTTTTTTTTTAAGTAAACTCTCTGCCCAACGTGGGGCTCAAACTCATGTCCCTGAGATGAAGGGTTGCATGCTGTACTGACTGAGCCAGCCAGGCACCCTTCTCTTTCATATTTCAATATGCAAAAATGTATATATTTTTAGCATAGTTGAGATCATAATTGTGTGTCAGCTCTGGCCTTTTTTTTCTCTGATGCTGTATTTTGAGGATTTCCCCTTAGTCAGTGGAAGTTATTTGTAAATATATGTAATGGCTTCATAATAGTCCATTCTACATATGTTGCTTAATCATGCCCTAATGTTGAAGATTTATATTGTTTTCTAATTTTTGCTCTTTGTACAAAAATCTTTGTCTGTACCTCTGATCCCTTTCTTAGGATAGATTCTTAGGAGATGGTTTTCAAATAAAAAGGTATGAGAATGTTAAAAGCTCTTGAGGTGTATTGCCTTTGGTATATTAATTTCAATGTCTTATGTTTTGGTACAGTTCTTGGATTTTGTGAATTATGCTGAGGGGTTTGGGTTAGTGTTATAACTGAGCAGTTAAGGAAAGGCCCAAAGAGTGGTTGCTTCTGCATCCCCTGGCCTGATAATCTATAGAGAAAGACCTCCCACTTTATATGTTTTGTTCATTTTGAGTGGTCCAGAGCCTCTGTATCCCTCCAGGAGCCTGCAGCCGCTTAGTAAGAATTTGTACCTCACCTACCCTTAATATCCTTGGGGAGGAAAGGACACAGATCAATCAGTACTGGGTAAGGGGCAAAGTAGGAAAGGGTTTGTAATAAAAGGGGGAGTAAACCCATTCACATGTTAGGAGGTCTCAGCTAGGACTGCTGATGTGAAATGCTGTCTCCCTGCCTTAGTTTGTTTTACTGTTGAGAAGTCCTAGGTCAAGTCCACGTGGAAGCTGTGAAAATCCAGTTCAGGGCCAGGAGGGTGTTAAGTCATTTCCCCCTTTATCTTTTTTAAGCACTAGTAGAAGCCATTTCACAGCATCACATTGATGAGCTACCACCACCATCTCAGGAGCTGCTTGACGAAATTGGTAAGGGATGTTTAATACCGAATGTGCTCCGTGACCACAGTGTGGTTCTTTGTCTCAAGTGTAAGCACTAGTACAAAAGACCCTCAGAAGGTCCGATCGAATGTACACAATTCAGGAAGGAGCAGTTTTCCAATAAAATGGGCCTCACACTACTATTGAAACCTGGCCAGGATAATTAGCCTGTGTCTTTTGTCGCTTTGTTACTTAAAGGGCCTATGGTCATGATTCTAAGAGAAATAACATTTGAGTGGTTTATTAAGATGAAATTCTTTTACTAAAGGGATTTTTTTACTTCCTTTTTGAACGAAACCAGCCATAACTTGGGGGCCTGATGTCTGGCTACTGAGGCCAAGACATCCTGTACTTTCAGTTTTGCCATTAGCAGGAGGTATTAAAGGTATTGGCAGCATGGATGAATCACTTTCCCAGGGGCAGAGATGTCAGTGGCATAAGACCTAATGAAACCAGAATTTTCCATTTCAGGCAGAGACCCAGTTATACCAGCTCAATTTAATTGTAGTTGGATCGGCTGGCCCTGCCCAGCTGAGCCGATGCTGAATAAATGGAAACATTGGGACAGGTGGTTTCCTTACCCAGGAAAGACCCGACTGTTCTCTTCTTGACAGCCTGGCTGACCAGCCCCTTACCCTGAGAGGACACATCTTGTCAGACCTCTGATGGCCCAGTTCTTGGTATGGGGCCTGTAGAGAATTTCCTGAGATGCACCAGCTGGTTTTCAGGGTCTCTGAGGTTTTGTGTTTCATCAGAAAGAGGGAGGTAAAAGAGGACCTATGTGGTCTGACTCAATGACAGCTATCGCAACCCCAAGCCCCTGACTGTGGGTCTGAAGAACTAGGGTGGAACCAGTCAGAGCTGCCAGAACCTTCCTTAGTTTCTTTTTCCGTACTCACAGGCCCTTCTTACCTCATCACACCTCTCCCGCATTGCCACAGGGTCATAGGGATGTTAGGTTAAGCTCTTAGGGCTCCCATCCCCACACTGGCTCTCCTTCTCTAGAAATCCCCAGGGAGTCTTTGCAAATCCTCCTCTCTAGTTGCTCTTCATAGTATAGCAATAGAACTGCTGCTTATAAGAGTAAAGGTCACCTACACATGTCCAGCTCAGGTAAATTCTCAGTGTCATTTGTTCCTTGGTCATGACTTAAGGTAGTATTTGTAGGTTCCTTTGTAGTTTGACCTTAGCAATACTTTCCCTCTGGATCCTGCTGTCTTCTCTTTCAGTCACCATATGGACTCCCCCATTTCAGCAACTGTTAGCAGGCTTCCTCCTGGGCTTCAGCCTCGTGGCACAGCTGTACCCCAGTACACTCATTTTACTTATGGGAATTATCTGGACCAGGTTTCTAGGTGATGTCTGTACTTTGACATGGGTCAGTAATTTCCCAGAAAGACAAAGCGAGAGGGCACTTGGGTAGTTTCTCCTAATAATGGGCACTCCCACGCAATTATTGTATATTATCATTCTCTTGTTCCACCTCAGGAGAGCTTTGGGGAGTGACCTGGTGTTGACATCTGTTCTTTTGGAGGACCCACATCCAAAGCTCTAGGCTTCTGACAAAGGCCTAAAGGGGAGGATCCTCTAGAACCCTAGGATATAGATGATCCTTTAAGATCAACAAGGGACTACTTTTAACAAGGATAAAAATGGATTTTTTATTTCAAATTATTTGAACTGATCAAATGGGGCCTGATGCCCAGGAGCTGCCAGGAAGCTTCCTGACCTGCAGGAAGAGAGAGCCCTGTGCCTGCACACAACAGGGCTGCATCAGGGAACCCATGGTCCCTCTGTGTTCTGCCTCCCAGCTACCTCCCTGCTCTGCGGGGAGCACTTGAAGCATACTGTGCAGCTAACAAAGGCAAAGCCGGATGCGGGGTTTAGCCGATGCTTGTCTTGGTCTTGTGGTCAATTCTTCAGGAACTGGAAATTATAGATATTCTTTGCCTTCTGTCTTTTCATAAACTAGGTAAAAAATATGAAACATAGGCCACAGGGATGAGGAAAACTGGAGGTTGCTTTGATGTTGTTCCACACTTTTTGAGAGAGGATAAAATAGAGGTGAAGAGCGTAGATCTTAGAGCTGGACCATCTAGGTTCAAATCCCAGCTCTGCATCTTACTCTGTGTGATTCCAGGCAAGGTCCTCAACCTTTCTTTACCTTCATTTCCTCATCTGCTAAACAGGAATGGAAATCACATGATCAGTCTTGTAGGATTGTTGTGAAGACTGCAAACATTAATCTTGAATGAATGTGTGTAAGTTAAAAACAGTACCTGCCACATAGAGCTCTGCAAATGTGACCTATCATCGTTACCATTTTTGTTTTTATTTTTAGTGTTGGAGGGGATTGAATGCCCTAGACCAGTGGTTCTCAGACTTTATCAGCTGTCAGAGTCACCTGGAGGGCTTGTAAAATATGATTGCTTGGCCCCACCCCCAGAGTTTCTGACTCAGTAGGTCTGAGATGAGGCCTGAGAATTTGCATATCTAAGTCGGAGTATAGGGCAACCCTTTGAGAACCACTGCCCTAGAGAATGGTGTGACGTGTAAAGGAAGAAATAACTTGCCTTCTGCTTCTATATGATTGTGACAGAGCACTTGAAGCAGGAGCAGGCCTCATCCACAGTGTTGGGGGAGAACACAGCAAGTCATCTGGGCATCACTGCAAATGGTAAGCCAACTACCCAAATTTTTTTCATCAGGTCCTTGCTGTAACACTGTCCTTGGCAGCACATTGGTACATTTGGGGGACTGTGGACCTTTAAGTCAGGCACAATTCCACCTCAGTTGCCACTTTTGAACTGCAAACTCTTTAATGTCTCTGAGCCTCAGTCATCCTCATCTGTAAAATGGGGATGATAATTCCTACCTCCTGATGTATGCAATAGCTCTAAGCACAGTGCCTGCTACATTGTAAGATACTGAACAAACCTTCCCTTCATAGGACTGCTGGCAGGATGAAATGAGATAGCATTACAAAATGCCTGGCATACATTAAAGGGTACTACCCTTCCCCACCCAAATTCCTTCCTTGAGGCTTCAACCTAGAAACATCTAACAAGTGAGAACAGGGTAGTCCCCCAAAGTAAATCTGGGCAATTTGTTTCCAGGGTCTCCTGCCTCCTCTTTTATGTGTCCTTTCTTTCCTCTGTTTCCTCTGTCTCTCTTGAGTCTTGGCACAGGTAAGGTTTCTTGTCGCTTCACCTGGCACCAGAGAGCTCCCAAGACCCCAGAAGCAGCTGCTGTGGATGCAGGCACCCTGCAGACTGCCACCTGGTCCCTGGCTCTCCTGGGAAGAAGTCGTGCAGTGCATGCTTCAGGGACCACTGATTAACCTTAATTTTTTGCACTCCATTTTAAGGCAGCCTTTCTCAATTGTTTTTTGATGTTCTAATAAAGTTAAGTCTTTCAACTGTTTTTAGATCAAAGGCATTTAGAAGAACAAGCAACTAACTGTGAAAAAGAACATAGCAGTATGCTTTGGACCAAAGAAACTCAGGATCTAGAAGAGGACACAGAGAGGTAACAGAAAAAGCTGGACATCTGAAAGGATTTAATATATGGTATTAGTTTGTATTAGTTTTTCTTCTGATATTTGACAAATAAGATGGGAAGAAAAGGTCTTTCTTCATACTATCCTAAATAGCCCCTATTCCTAAAAGTTTTTTGTTTTTTATTGTAATTGTGATAAGATAAACAACATAAAATTTTCGAGGGTACAGTTCAGTAGTGTTAAGTATATTCACATTGTTGTGCAGCCAGTCTCTTAAACTTACTCATCTTACAAAACTGAAACTCTTTTATGTTATGTTACTCACCATACATTACATCATTAGTTTTTGATGTAGTGTTCCATGATTCATTGTTTGCGTATAACACCCAGTGCTCCATGCAGAACGTGCCCTCTTTAATACCCACCACCAGGCTAACCCATCCTCCCACCCCCCCCGCCCCTCTAGAACCCTCAGTTTGTTTTTCAGAGTCCATAGTGTCTCATGGTTCGTCTCCCCCTCCGATTCCCCCCCTTCATTCTTCCCCTCCTGCTATCTTCTTCTTTCAAAACTGAAACTCTTTTTTTTTTTTTTTTTTTTTTTTTTTTTTAAAGATTTTTATTTATTTATTTAAGACAGAGAGAATGAGAGACAGAGAGCATGAGAGGGAGGAGGGTCAGAGGGAGAAGCAGACTCCCCGCCGAGCAGGGAGCCCGATGCGGGACTCGATCCCGGGACTCCAGGATCATGACCTGAGCCGAAGGCAGTCGCTTAACCAACTGAGCCACCCAGGCACCCCAAAACTGAAACTCTTATACTCAAAAACCAACTGCCCATTCGCCCTTTCTCAGTTCCTAGCAACTGCCATTCTACTTTCTGTTTCTGTGAATTTGACTCCTCTTGATATCTCATATAAGTAAAGTCATACAGTATTTGTCATTTTGTAACTGGTTTATTTCACTTAGCATAATATCCTCAAGGTTCATCCATGCAGCATAGTCAGAATTTCCTTTTTTTTTTTTTAAAAGATTTTATTTATTTGAGAGAGAGAGAGCACGAGCAGTGGGAGCGGCAGAGGCAGAGGGAGAACAGGCTCTCCGCTGAGCAGAGGGCTTGATCCTGTGAGTCAGGATCATAACCTGAGCTAAAGGCAGACGCTTAACCAACTGAGCCACCCAGGCGCCCCAGAATTTCCTTCTTTTTTATGGCTGAATTCCTGTGTTTGTGTGTGTGTTTGTGTGTCTATGTGTTACATTTTGTTTATCCATTCATGTACTGGTAGACACTGGGTGACTTCCATCTTTTGCCTACTGTGAATAATGCTGCTATGAACACGGTGTACAAATATCTCTTCTAAACATCCTGCTTTCAATTATTTTGGATATGTACCCTGAAGTGGTATTGCTGGATCACATGGTAAATCTATTTTTAATTTTTTGAGGAAATACCATACTGTTTTCCACAGCAGCTGCACCATTTTACATTCCTACCAACAGTGCACAAGGGCTCCAATTTCTTCACATCCTTGCCAATACTTGTTATTTTCTGGATTTTTTGATAGTAGCCACTCTAATGGAATGAGTATGAGGTGATACCTCATTGTGGTTTTGATTTGCATTTCCCCAGTGATGAGTGATGTTGAATACCTTTTCATATGGTCCATGGCCATTTGTATATTTTCTCTGGAGAAATAAATATTCAAGTTCTTTGCCCATTTTTTAATAGGATTTTTTTCTTGTCAGGTTGTTTTTTTGTTTTTGTTTTTACTTCATTTTGTGAGGCAAACATAGGTTTCAGCTTTTAAAAAAAAAAATGTTTCAATTAAAGGCCTTAGAAGAGAATTTTTAGGTATTTGTAGCCAAATAAGAGAAAATGGGGACAATCATCTAGACCGTTGAGTCTAAAAACACAAGGTTGTGGGGCACCTGGGTGGCTCAGTCGTTAAGCGTCTGCCTTCGGCTCAGGTCATGATCCCGGGGTCCTGGGATCGAGCCCCACATTGGGCTCCCTGCTCAACGGGAAGCCTGCTTCTCCCTCTCCCACTCCCCCTGCTTGTGTTCCTGCTCTCGCTATCTCTCTCTCTGTCAAATAAATAAATAAAAGATTTTTAAAAAAATAAATAAAAAATAAAGACACAAGTTTGCCTCAAGAAACCCCATTCCATTCCTGATTCAGAGCTCTCCTTTGACCCGTGCTGTAAGGTAAACCACTTCAGCTCACCTCTTGTGCCTTCTGACTTGTTTTGCCTTGTCCTAACTGTCATTTGGGGCCAGGACTGGCATGAGGTGAGTGAGACACACTCCTTAGGCACAAAATTGAAGGAGACACCAAAAAACGCAGGAGTCAAGATAAATTATTTTAATGCGGCATTTTTAAAAATGAAAATTGATGCCAAAAAATCCACGATGAGCAAAGTGTCTAAATTTTGAAGAAAAAGAGGATCTGAATCTATCCTTGTACCATTCGTGTTATTTTTTTTTATTTTTTATTTTTTTTTAAGATTTTATTTATTTATTCATGAGAGACAGAGAGAGAGAGAGAGAGAGAGGCAGAGGGAGAAGCAGGCTCCCAAGGAGCAGAGAGCCCGATGTGGGACCCGATCCCAGGACCCCGGGATCATGACCTGAGCCGAAGGCAGACACTTAACCATCTGAGCCACCCAGGCGCCCCATTCGTGTTATTTTAATCCTGGTCCTGTGGATCCTTAGGGTAGCCTGCACAATTCTTTCAACTGCAAATGATAGAGAACACCACCATTGTGCTTAGATGAGTTTGTCTCACACAAGAGGCAGTCCCACTGGCTGGCAGGGCAGGCCTGGTGTAGCAGCTTGGTGATGTGGTCAGGGACTTAGGCTCTTTGGATATTCCTGCTTTGCCACCTTAGCATGTTGACCTTTATTTTCAGACTTGTCACCTCCTGGTTGCAAGATGGCTGCTGTCCACACACCAGGCAGAGATAAAAGGGTGGGGCAAAGGAATATTCTGACTCTGCCCCTTTTTATCTGGAAAGCACTTTCCCAGAAGCCCTCCCCAGCAGGAGATATAAGGCCCTACTTATATCTCACTGGCCAAATGTGATGCATGACCACCCTCAGTTGCAAGGGAGACTATAAATTGAGTTTTTAGTTTTTTAGCTGCTATAGAAGAAGAAGGCAAGGGAGAAGAGTGCTATGAATAACTTTTAGGTAGTGAATCCAGTTTCTGTCACACTCTTCAAGGGCTAAATTATTCTGTATGAGGAAGGAGAAGAAAGACCTGGAAGGGAAGGTCTGGGAAGTGGAGGAGGAGACTGGAGCCCTGGGACCAGCAAGGAAGGTCCTGGGGAGACAGAAAAGACAAAGAGGCAAAGGGGGAAGAAGATAAATACTTTTTAAAAGTTTTAGACATCTTTTTTTTCTAGGGATGCCTGGGTGGCTCAGACAATTAAACATCTGCCTTCGGCTCAGGTCATGATCCCAGGGTCCTGGGATTGAATCCCACGGAGCTCCTTACTGAGCGGGGAGCCTGCTTCTTCTGTCTGCTGCTCCCCCTGCTTGTGTGCACTCACTCCCTCTTTCTCTGACAAATAAATAAAATCTTTAAAAAATAGTAAATAATTAAAGAAATCTTTTTTCTGTAATGTATAAATCCAGCCCTTCCAACTCCCCAAAACACCTTCAGTAAAAATGTACATCATTATTCAAGCAAAAGAAGATTAGCTCAAAAAGCCAAGTTAAATTTGGTTGTATAAAGTGCTTTGTTCGTGATCAGAAGTTGTCTACTATAACTGTTTTCCAGAAGGGCTGGCTGTGCTGGACACAGATAGGTGCCCACGGTGGGACTTCTCAGGCCTTCCAGAAACACTCTCTGCATCCGTTAGCCTCAGAGGCAGTTCTTCATCCAAAAAAAGTAGTAATGAGTGTACAGTTCTAGCCTCAGGTAGAAATTGACTTAATGACGTAGAATTGAGACTGAGTCTAACATTGGACTTTGGGAGGTAACTATGGGTGCTGAGGCTTTTGGTCAAGAGGCTAAAGAAGGGTTTTGGTCTGCATTTAAATCGGATCTCAGTGACCTCTGCTGCTGTAGGTAGTCTCACCGAGCTCTCATTTTCTCATGTGTACAGTGAAAGCATGGGTTTGAAGGGCCTTCCCCACCCTAAAACACTGTGCCTCCTTGTCATGGGACAAGAATTGTCTCAATTCTCTTCACTTACCCTTGGACAGAGCTCACTCTACTCTCGATGAGGACCTAGAAAGATGGCTACAGCCCCCTGAGGACAGCATGGAGCTACAAGATCTCCCTGAAGTTTCTACAAGGTTATTGTTCTCCCATCAGGGGATCATTTTCTTCTTTTTCAGGAAGGAGGTCTAGATTTTAGGTGTTTTTTTTTTTTTTTTTTTAATACCTTGACTCCTTGAAGAATGAGTGTCTGGTGATGTCATTACATTGCTCTTGTTAAGCCAGCCTTGACTCCTGTCTGCCCCTCTTCCTCCAACCACCCACAGCGCTCAAGATACTGATCACCAGATTGATATCAGTATACAGAGAGGCCTCTAAGATTGCTGTACCTTGGCCCTGTCACCTTCAACATCTTCATCAGCCATTTGAATTAAATCAGAAAAGGCATGCTTATCAAATTTTTAGATAACACAAATATAAGAATGAATGCTAATGTGATAGGTGATAGACTGTGGATTCAAAATAGTCTTGACAGGTGGAAATCTTAGATTCCTCTAAAAGATGAAAGTGAGCATTGAGATGTACAGAATGTGAGGTATCTGACCTAGTGGAGAATTTTTGACTGGAAGCTCCTCCTCACTGCAGTTTCACTGAAGGGAGGAAGTGTGTCTTATTTTTATATGCTCAGCATTTAGCATGCATTTTGAGACATGGTAAGAATTCAAGAAATTTTTCTTTTTTTTTTTTTTTTTTTAAAGATTTTATTTATTTGCGAGAGAGAGAATGAGAGAGAGAGCAGGAGAAGGGGGAGGGTCAGAGGGAGAAGCAGACTCCCTGCCAAGCAGGGAGCCCGATGCGGGACTCGATCCCGGGACTCCAGGATCATGACCTGAGCCGAAGGCAGTCGCTTAACCAACTGAGCCACCCAGGCGCCCCAAGAAATTTTTCTTGAAGAGGGCATAAGTAGTGACTCCATGAGATCTCCGTTTGATGCAGTTGCTAAAAAGGTCAATGCAGCATTAATGCTGAACAGACAGAGATGTACTGTCCAGGGCAAGGCAGTGTCTCACGCTAGAGAGGGGACTCCTGGGACACAGTGTGGAGCGTCTTCCTGGGTGCCATAGTTTAAAAGCGATGTTGACAAACAGAAGAGGGTGGCCCTAGAACAGTCAGACGTCTGGAAACCATGTGCTGTGAGAACAGCTGAAGGATCTGGGGAGGCTCAGCCTGAGAAGCACGGATGGGGTTGGGGATTTGCTAGCTGCCCTCAAATCGCTGAGATACTGTGAAGTGAAGAGAGTCTGCTTATTCTCTTCTCCCCCAAAGGACAGAACTAGTGGCTAGAAACTGCAGAGTTAGGTATTTTTATGCAGCAAAGCCCACTCTTTCTAAGAGCCATAGCCGTCTGATAGAGAGAACAGCTGCCTTTACACTCCCTTGACCACCAGCTCCTCCCACTCAAGCACAGGCTAGACAACGCTGGGCCCGGTCATCTGGATGGAGGTGGGAGAGACCCTCAAGGCTTCCTCCCATTCTAGAGCCTATGATTCTATCAGTGATGAGAGGTTAGGAGGGAAAAAATCCTTTTTGCTCTAGCTGGCTTTATTTTCTCTCTCATTTTACATATTTTGTTTTGAATATTTAGCAAATGAAAACAGAAGAAAATCCCTAAACAGTGTCAGATTGGTTGAACCAGCATCTGTTGAGCACTGACAGTGAGCCAAGCGCTGTGCTGGAGAAGCAGAGGGATAGGATGTCTCTGCCCTTCAGGAGCTTACCGTTGAGTGGGGGAGATGCTTTCTGCTTACTAGTTTGGCAAACGTGGCCTTAAATCATTAGATACTTCAATCAGAGATACTTCAGAGAGAGTTTCAGGAAATGAAGTAAGGTAATAAAATAAATGGTAGTTATAAAAAGGACACCAATTAGAACATAAGTGAAATGCTTTGTGGGGTTTGGGTAGAGGTGGATAATATAGCCTCGAGGTTGAGAGCAGAGTCTGAGACAGACTGCTTAGGTCAGATCTCAGTTCCAGGGCTTACAAGGCCTGTAACTAAACTTCTCTGTGCTTCATGGTAGTGGTGACTACCTCATAGAGTTGTAATAAGAATTAAGTGAGTTAATATACATTATAGCGCACAAGCTAATGCCTGGCCACTAGGGCCACCTATTATGAATCCTTCGGAGCAGTCCTGTTCTCCTGGCCATTGTGCTTATGGTTTGATGCTCAAAATCATTGTCATTGAAGGGAGGCAAATATCAAGGACCAAGAAGCTGGTGAAAAGAAGACAAAAGAGGAAGAAAGGATCAAATCAGAGAGAAGGAAATCAGACAGTTTTTTAGGAACTTCTGAAGAAGGTATGAATGAATGATTATTTATGATGTAGCCTGGAGTCCTTGGGCTGTGATAAGCATCCGAGTTATTTAGAAATACTTCCCAAATGCTATACATAATCCTTCTATGCTTTCCTCCTCTAGTTCAGCCCATGTTTTCTCTTAATTGCCAGTTGTATCTTCATCACAAAACAGTAACAACATCCAGTTCTATTTCTAAAGCAAGCCTTTGGCCAGTTTCATCATCTTATCTTACACACTGTGTGGGAAGATGTTTTGCTTCTAATTATCTAGTGTCTTCAAAAGAGTTCTAAATTTAGCTCACACAGAGGCTGCAGAATCTGATAAGAAGTCATAAACTGGAATTTAAGTGGAGTCTACAAGTAATGTGAAAGGATAAATTAATCTTATTTCAAAACTATTTCAACAGAGCTTTAGGCGTCATTCAGAAATGACACCCCTCTATATTTAAAGTTCCTTCTACTTAGGAAGTTAGAAATGTTAACTCTTTCAGAATATCTGGTATCCCTTGTATCCCTTCCCTGGTTCATTCTCATTCTCCTCCTTTCTCTGCCCTGTTTTGTGCTTTGTGGACTGTATCTCCTGGGCTTCCTGGCCAGCAGGCTTCCCGTTGGTCAGTGGGAAGAGGGTAGAAGGGTAGGTGGGGTATTACTTCCCCTGCCTGCCGACTTCAACACCTAGTCTCTGCGTAGAAGTGCCGTCCCTCCAGAAGCACAGCTTCTGTGAGGCAGCCTGTCCTTCTTAGTTCCAGCTATTACTGGCTCCCAGTAACTGTTCTGCCCCACCTCCACCCCAATCCCTCTAGACTTAGCAGTGATAATGGCTTCCCGCTGCTGCTCACTGGACGCCTTGCCAGCCCTTGTTTGCTCCCTTAACTCTGACTATCCCTGTGTGAGTGGTCACTTCGTGAAAGGGCTTGGGCATGCATTTGAATCCCTCTGGGACTCTGACTGGCACAGGGTCCAGAGTGTGTGAGCATTTAGCTAGTGTTGAGTTCACTGAGAACATAATGCAGGGACTTTGTGAATTAGCATCATTAGTGTCCATTGCTGTGACAGAGAGCTGCAGAATGTTAGGAGGGGAAGCCCATTAACCGTGTTTTTAGAAAGATTCTCTCTGTAGAAGAAAACAACCATTTGTTGGTAAGACAGTTCACCCTAAACTAGAGAAAGAACACTAATGTGACTTCTGAATACTGGCACCCTTTGACCCAGACAGTAATCGGGTTGTGTTTTCTTCTTTCTATATTTCATCAAGAGGAACTAAAACCCTGTTTTTGGAAGCGACTGGGTTGGTCTGAACCATCCAGGTAATGAGTTGGCGTATGCTTATAGGTCAAAGTTTACTGTCTCTAGACAACAGGAACAGGCTTTAAACATTCGCCAGCATCTAAATAAACATGAATTATAAAGTTACTAATAAATTTCTTTAAATGATAATGAATTCAGAGTTGCTCAATTTTTTATCTGTTAATGTTTATAGTTAATTAAAATATAAGGTGAAATTCATGCCAACTTTGGTGAAGTAGTCAGTAGATTCAGCACAAGAGCAGTTTTAGACAGATGGAGGACAGAATGCTGCTTTCAGTTGCTTTGCAGTCATTGTGCATTCCCATGATATACTAGTTGATGATCTCCTTTGAATATAAAGATCAAAATCCCTTTCCCTTGAATTCAGTTGAATAGAAAGAAACTGCTGTTTGTGTCTTTCAAAAATATGTACACCAACTCAAAACTCCTTGTTGTTGTTGTTGTTCTTTAAAAAATACACACACAGGATAATCGTGCTGGATCAGAGTGACTTGTCTGACTGACGGGAATTGGATCATAGGTGGACTCCTGGCCTGAGTTGGAGCATCCTGCTCAAGAGCCCCCGCCTCTCCTCACCTGCTTCAGTCACCATCAGGGCAGTGATTCCGTAGCTCACACTCTGTTCAGTTGCCACAATAGACAGAACACTGGCCCTATCTGTTTGCAGCACATGTAACAATTTGTTTCTGGTTCACATGTCTGATAAGTGAAAGCTTTTATTGTAAAATTTTCTCATTGTTTCCAGAATGGCTTTTGGTTTTGTTGTTTAAGATTTTTGAACACTTTAACTCCTGTTATATAATAAAATATTTACTTTTAATACCAATTTAGGTTGTAGCCGTGTAAGAGCTATTTCTTTGTTTTACTTACTGGGAGAGGAACTGCCACCCAAAGAGGCTTCAATTTCTGTTATAAAGTTTGACGTTTAATAAGCAGCTACTGCTACCACCTCTCACATAAACCGGCACCAGTCATCCATATTTTAGAATAGAAATACTGCCCTCCTCTTGGCTAGGATTGCCATAGTCCATTCCAGCTAGAATTGATTTACATGATGAAAGTACAGTTAGGAATAAAAGCCCAAGACCAAGATATTTTGAGCTCTTTAAAGTGAACAAACATCATTTCTGTATATTTCAGATTTTATACCTCGCATCACTAGTGCCTTAGGGGAATATGAACTTGTGGTAATTTAGCCTCTAATGACTACTGGCCAGATGCATACACGTGTCTAGCCTGGTTCTTATTTTATTTTATTTAATTAATTAATTTTTTTTTAAGATTTTATTTATTTGACAGAGACACAGCGAGAGAGGGAACACAAGCAGGGGGAGTGGGAGAGGGAGAAGCAGGCTTCCCGCTGAGCAGGGAGCCCGATGCGGGGCTCGATCCCAGGACCCCGGGATCATGACCTGAGCCGAAGGCAGACGCTTAACGACTGAGCCACCCAGGCGCCCCTAGCCTGGTTTTTAGAGGATCAATATACCTTCATCTACCTCAAGTTTGGAGCCTTCACATACAAATAAAAGCCTTTTCTTAGAAGGTGTGTGCTGTCATGCAGTACTAGCCAGCTAACATTTTATTCTTAGCAAATAAATAGTAGATCTTTTATTTGTGAAAACTGAATATTTCCTGTTAAGGATGGTTGTATTCATACAGTTCTTACTAGCACCACAGAATTTTACCCTGCACAAATAAAATAGGAAGGTACAAATCTATTTGAACATTTTGAAGCAAGAGACAGTTGCTTGTCACTGTAACCAGAAGAAAATCAAAGCAGATTACTTTACAAATATATGTATAAGAAACTTGGCAGATACAGAGACTTGTAATATATAGTCCTTCCTCTCGTAAACCTTTAATTGGTGAAACAAAACTAATATACCTAAAAAATATAAGGACTGATAGTCTTTATATTGTTAACATGTCAATACTACCTAAAGCAATCTATAGATCCAATGTAATCTCTTATCAGAACCCCAATGACTTGGACGCCTAGGTGGCTCAGTTGGTTAAGCGTCTGCCTTCGGCTCAGGTCATGATCCCAGGGTCCTGGAATTGAGTCCCACATTGGGCTCCCTCCTCCTTGGGAGCCTGCTTCTCCCTCTGCCTCTCTCTCTCTCTCATGAATAAATAAATAAAATCTTTAAAAAAGAAAACACCGGGGCGCCTGGGTGGCTCAGTTGGTTAAGCGACTGCCTTCGGCTCAGGTCATGATCCTGGAGTCCCGGGATCGAGTCCCGCATCGGGCTCCCTGCTCGGCAGGGAGTCTGCTTCTCCCTCTGACCCTCCCCCCTCTCATGCTCTCTCTGTCTATCTCCTTCTCTCTCTCAAATAATAAAAATCTTTAAAAAAAAAAACAAAACACCAATGACTTTTTTTTTTTTTAATAAAGATTTTATTTGTCAGAGTGAGAGAGCCCAAGCAGGGGGAGCAGCAGGCAGAGGGAGAAGCAGGGTCCCAGCTGAGCGAGGAGCCCAAGGCAGGACTTGATTCCAGGACCCTGGGATTCTTGTAAGATTTTTTCCTGTCGGTACCTGCGGTTCTTGGTCACGCTGCTTTGAAGAATGAAGAGGTAGACCAGACAGAGTGGTGGGCAGCAAAGCAAGGTTTATTGAGCATTAGCAAAGTGATAGTACAAAGCTCCCGAGGAGGGAGGGGACCCGGAGGGTTGCCCCCCAATGACTTTTTTTGCATAAATAGGAAAACCCTTCCTAAAATTCATATGAAATCTCAATGGACCCCAAATAGCCAAAGCAATCTTGCAAAAGAACCAAAATTGGAGGACTCACCCTTCCTGATTTCCAAACTTGCAAATCTAGCTACAGTAAGCAAAACAATATGGTACTAGTGTAAAGACAGACATACAGATCAATGGAATAGAAGAGAGAGCTGTGATAAAACTTCACACATACACTAGAACTCATACAGGAATTTAGTAAAGTGGCAGGATATAAAATCAATGCACAGAAATCAGTTGCATTTCTATACACCACCAACAAGACAGAAGAAAGAGAAATTAAGAAGTCGATCTCATTTACAATTGCACCCAAAACCATAAGATATCTAGGAATAAATCTAACCAAAGAGGCAAAGGATCTGTACTCAGAAAACTATAAAATACTCATGAAAGAAATTGAGGAAGACACAAAGAAATGGAAAAACGTTCCATGCTCATGGATTGGAAGAACAAATATTGTTAAAGTGTCTATGCTACTTAGAGCAATCTACACATTTAATACAATCCTTACCAAAATAGCATCCACTTTTTTCAAAGAAATGGAACAAATAATCCTAAAATTTGTATGGAACCAGAAAAGACCCCGAATAGCCAGAGGAATGTTAAAAAAGAAAACCAAAGCTGGCGGCATCACAATTCTGGACTTCCAGCTCTATTACAAAGCTGTAATCATCAAGACAGTATGGTACTGGCACAAAAACAGACACATAGATCAATGGAACAGAATAGAGAGCCCAGAAATGGACCCTCAACTCTATGGTCAACTAATCTTAGACAAAGCAGGAAAGAATGTCCAGTGGAAAAAGGACAGTCTCTTCAACAAATGATGTTGGGAAAATTGGATAGCCACATGCAGAAGAATGCAACTGGACCATTTCCTTACACCACACACAAAAATAGACTCAAATGGATGAAAGACCTGAATGTGAGACAGGAATCCCATCAAAATCCTTGAGAACACAAGCAGCAACCTCTTCCTAGACACTTTACCAAAGGCAAGGGAAGCAAGGGCAAAAATGAACTATTGGTACTTCATCAAGATAAGAAGCTTTTGCACAGCAAAGGAAACAGTCAACAAAACCAAAAGACAACTGACAGGATGAGAGACGATATTTGCAAATGACACATCAGATAAAGGGCTAGTATCCAAAATCCATAAAGAACTTATCAAACTCAACACCCAAAAAACAAATAATCCAATCAAGAAATGGGCAGAAGTCATGAACAGACATTTCTGCAAAGAAGACATCCAAATGGCCAACAGACACATGAAAAAGTGTCCAACATCTCTCGGCATTAGGGAAATACAAATCAAAACCTCAATGAGATACCACCTCACACCAGTCAGAATGGCTAAAATTAACAAGTCAGGAAACGATGGATGTTGGCGAGGATGCAGAGAAAGGGGAACCCTCCTATACTGTTGGTGGGAATGCAAGCTGGTGCAGCCACTCTGGAAAACAGTATGGAGGTTCCTCAAAAAGTTTAAAATAGAGCTACCCTACGACCCAGCAATTGCACTACTGGGTATTTACCTCAAAGATACAAATGTAGGGATCCGAAGGGGCACATGTATCCCAATGTTTATAGCAGCAATGTCCACAATAGCCAAACTATGGAAAGAGCCTAGATGTCCATCAACAGATGAATGGATAAAGAAAATGTGGTATATATATACAATGGGATATTACACAGCCATAAAAAAATGAAATCTTGCCATTTGCAATGTGAATGGAACTAGAGGGTATTATGCTAAGTGAAATAAGTCAATCAGAGAAAGATAAGTAGCGTATGATCTCACTGATAGGAGGATTTTGAGAAGACAGAGGATCATAGGGGAAGGGAGGGAAAAATGAAACAAGATGAAACCAGAGAGGGAGACAAACCGTAAGAGACTCTTAATCTCAGGAAACAAACTGAGGGTTTCTGGAGGGGAGGGGGGTGGGAGGGATGGGATGGCTGGGTGATAGACATTGTGGAGGGTATGTACTATGGTGAGCGCTGTGAATTGTGTAAGACTGATGAATCACAGACCTGTACCTCTGAAACAAATAATACATTATATGTTAATAAAAAAATTAAGAAAAAAACTTTGCACTTAGAGTCAAATGATTTTTGACAAGGATGCCAAGACCATGGGGAAAGGACAGTCTCTTCAACAAATGATGCTGCGAAAACTGGATCTCCACATGCAAAAGAATGAGATTCTTATCTAATATTTATCTAACACCATATACAAAAATTAACTCAAAATGGATTACCTAAATCTAAGGCTGAAAACAATAAAACTCTTAGAAGAAAACGTAGGACAAAATTTTGCAGTATCGGATTTGGCAATGATTTCTTGGATACGACATCAAAGGTACAGCCAACAAAATAAAAAATAGACATGTTGGACTTAATGAAAATTTAAAATTTACTATCCACAGAGTGAAAAGGCAACCCCTAGAATGAGAAATAATTTGCAAATCATGTAACTGATAAGGATCTATATCCAGAATATATAGAGAACTCCTAAAATTCAACAACAACAAAAAAATCCAATTCAAAATTGGGCAAGGACTTGAATACACATTTCTCCAAAGAAGATACATCAATAGTCAATCATGAAAAGATGCTCAACATCACTATTAGGAAATGCAAATCAAAACTACAATGAGTTACCACCTCACATTCTTTAAGGTGGCTACTATGGAAGAAACAGAAAACAAGTGTTGGCAAAAATGTTTCAAATTAGAACCGCTGTGCACTATTGGTGGGAATGTAAGATGGTATAGTCACTTTGGAAAGCAGTATGGTTGTTCCTCAAAAAATTAAAAATAGAATTACCATATGACTAGGGGCGCCTGGGTGGCTCAAGCGGCTGCCTTCGGCTCAGGTCATGATCCTGGGGTCTTGGGATCGAGCCCCACATCTGGCTCCCTGCTCAGCGGAGAGCCTGCTTCTCCCTCTCCATCTGCCTGACACTCTGCCTACTTGTGCTCTCTCTCTCTCTCTCAAATAAAATCTTTAAAAACAAGATTGCCATATGACCCAACAATATATCCCACTTCTGAATATGTACCCAAAAGAATTGAAAG